TAGTTGGAGCATTCTTTGCCACTGCCCTTCTTTGGGATTGGGATGTAGACTGATCTTTTCCAATCCTCTGGCCACTGCTGAGTTTTCCAAACTTGCTGGCATTTTGAGTGTAGCACCTTAACGGCATCATCCTTTAAGATTTTAAATAGTTCCACTGGAATGCCATCACCCCCACTGTCCTTGTTGTTAGCCAAGCTTTCTAAGGCCCACTTGACTTCACTCTCCAGGATATCTGGCTCAGGGTCAGCAACCACACTACAGTGGTGCCTCGACTTATGACCACAATCCATTCTAGAAGATGTGCATAACTCGAAATGGTCATAAGTCGAAGCACCATTTCCCATAAAACACATAGAAACCCCATTAATCCATTCCGGCTGGGAAAAAAATTACCAAAAAATAAATAAAGAAAAAATAAAACACTGGAAGCCCCATAGGAATGCAATGGGGCCAGAAAACACACCAAAACAAACAAACAAAAACCACAGCCAGTCCCAGCAAAACACCATGGAGCTGGAGGAAAAAACACAAAGCCCTCAAACACAGCCAGCCCCAGTGGAACGCGATGGGGCTGGGGAAAAAAAACACAACCCCCCTCCCACATACACAGCCATCCTCAGCGGAACGCTATGGGGTGAGGAAAAAATATTCAAAAACAACCCCACACACAGCCAGTCCTAGCGGAATATGATGGGGCTGGGGGGAAAAAACCACAAAAACACCCCCCACATACACACAGCCAGCCCAGATGTGATGGGGCTGGGAAAAAAACCAAACCAAAACACAAAAAACATCACAGCACAGGAGAGAAGGCAGTAAAACTGGAAAAAATAAACCAGAACCAGTTTTGATCTCTTACCTGGTTGGTGTCTTTACCTGTATAAGGAGGGAAAGTGGTAAAAATGCAAAAAATAAACCAAAATTAATTTTCATCTCTTACCTTCTCAGTGTCTTTACCTGAATAAGGAAGGAAGGCAGTTAAAACGGAAAAAATAAACACAAATTGGTTTTGATGCATTACCTGGTCAATGTCTTCACCTGCATAAGGAGGGAAGGCAGTGAAAATGGAAAAACATAAACCAAAATTGATTTTGATCTCTTACCTGATTGGTGTCTTGACCTGTATAAGAATAAGGCAGTTAAAAAGGAATAAATAAACCAAAATTAGTTTTGATGTCTTACCTGGTTGGTGTTTTGGCCTGTATGAGAAGGGAAGGTTGTAAAAAATAAATCTAAATTGAGTTTTGATCCCTTATCTGGTCAGTGCCTAACCGTAAGATATGCTGTTTTACCTAGTTATGTGATATGTATTAACATTTATAAACCACTATCTCTTTAAATTTTGAGCAAGTAATTAACACTATGAATATGGAAATAAATACTGTACAAGAGAAATCAACCCAGAAAGAGAACTATTAAGCTGAACAAGTCAATAGATCCTGGCATATTAACACATTAAATGGGTAAATATGTCAGACATAATAATCTTTGTAACCCTTCAGACTGGGAAACGATATGTAAAGAGGTATGTTGTTCATTTCTGAAAACATAAAACTTCTTTTTTTCTAATTATAAAGCAAAGTGTGCTGCTTATATACTGCACCATAGCGCTTCAAGCACTCTCTGGGCGGTTTACAAGTTAGTTACGCAGTCTACACATTGCCCCCCCCCCTGCGATCTGGGTACTCATTTTACCGACCTTGGAAGGATAGAACGCTGAGTTAACCTTGAGCCAGCCAGCTGCGATTGAACCTCAGATCATGAGCACAGTTTTAGCTGCAGTACAGCGGTTTAACCACTGCGCTACAAGGCTCTAATTATGGTTACTAAGGAAGGAGATTAGCCAAATACAATCTGATGAATACTAGGGATGAAATACACAGATTAATCATGCAGAGTGGGCAAATGTTTCATAAATGAAACATTTCTGTTTCATTTCCAACAACTACACCCACGGCTCCATCAGAAAGGGGGCACCCAGAAAAGAATCCCCACAAATGCTACTCTTTCGCATCCGTGTGGGAAGTATGTTATTGAAATCCAGCTTACATCTGGCTGCCCCCTAACAAACCCATTTATCTCCATTAAAAAGCAACAGCAACCTCTCAAAAGTACCACATCAACTGCCCTCTCAGACCTCACCACCTTAAACCTACACTACCCAGGTAATGCCTTAATGTAGTTTCCAGAGCTATAGAAAAAACAGGAAGCACACCTTCTACATCTCTACAAACTATGAAACTGAATGGCTGAGAAAGTCCACGGTTAATGAAAGGTAAATGTAAGTAATTTTGAAAAGCCAAGGTCTCTGTAACTCACTCTGCTCCCAATGGCTGTTGAGGCAGGAAAGCAGCAAGTGGGCAAAGACCATGTCCTCCACGGTATGCTAAGCCCTTCCTAGTGCATCTGGTGCAGTCAGAGTGCCCCCATGACATCTGCCTTTCTCTCATTTAAACGTCCACCCACTCCACTGTCTGAGAGAACCACAGGAGGCAGCCAAAGAAAACTTTTGTTTATTGATCTATAGGATGGCATCACATTATTCCCTCTTCCCCCTGCCCTAGCTCATGATTAGTGGTAAGGTTAGTGACTTGTGTAGTGTAAAGTTATACTTCAGGTAAGAATTCTTAGGCTGTGCTTTCCAGGGATCCTAAACAATGTCACACACAACGTCAAGGGTACTTTTTCCTGTTCCATTGTACTTTTACAATGCTTTCTATACCATCTTTTGCAAAGAAACTTGCTTAATATAATATAAGCAGTGCTTGGCTTTTTTTATTTGCCTGGATACTCTGCACAAGGTCTGAAAGATGCCATTCTGTAGAAGAAAAATTAGAGGGCAAGAATCCAGAGAAAAATAGCTGAGATAAAATATATACATATGTTTAAAACTCATCTCAGTGGACTCAGTATAAGCCAGGGTTTCTTAGGCCATTATCAGATGTAAAATATTGCTTTGTATATGCTGCAATTGTCACACACAACGTGATTAGAGATATTCATCACCACATTGATCCTCTTTATTATCTATCCGTGTAGGCATCCTTCAGTCTCAAGAGACTATGGTATCGTGCTCTGTATGGAGGTCTTGGAACAGTGTCTTGTGTGGCTGAGAAGGCCAATTCGAGAGTGACAATCCCTTTCACACTGGAGACAAATCCAATCTGTCCCCTGTCCAGCTCCCTGGTTTTGCTTGTTTCGGGACTGCCTCTTTGCCTCGGTCTGCTGTACAAGTGTCGCTTCAAATTGGGAGAGGCCATGATGCACCGCCTGCCTCCAGGCTGAACGCTCAGACGTCAAGGTTTCCCATCTGTTGAGGTCCATTCCTAAGGCCTTCAGATCCCGCTTGCAGATGTCCTTGTAACGCAGCTGTGGTCTCCCTCGGGAGACCCATAGGTGATTAGAGATATTCATCACCACATTGATCCTCTTTATTATCTATAGCATGGGATTAATTTAGCCACCAATCACTGTCATTTACAGAACAGTGCTTCCTGTGAGCAGAACTGAATATCAACTGAGATCTTAAAGATTTGAAGTGCGGCACTACTAACATCTTATGTCCAGGAAACAAACAATATCTTTAAATATTTGGCACATAGTCCCACTCTTATGTCTAACGAGGTGGACTTTTCCATGAAAGCTCATATTAAAATATAGCAATTGATCTTTAAGTTGCCACATCTACTTTATTTTTTAAAAAAATTTAAACTTTTGTTTTTGCCCGATATGCTACCTCATCTACCTCTTCTAAAACTACATCCGTCACCACTCATGTTAGTAACGTAGGTACCATAGATTTTAGCTGGCAGAACTGATTGTCAGTTATAGTGTACAGTGTTCCGGCAGACTGAGTTTGGTTGAGCTAATATTAAATGAAGATTTGTAACCAGCAGTCATACAGGTTGGCTCAGTTCCAGATGGGACGCCCCAGAGTGGATTTGCTAGGGTGCTCTTGCTAGTCGACAAGGGTCACTCCTTGCTGGTATGTTTCTTTCTTCTTGCAGGTGAAGAGTATGGCACACCATCTATTCCTGTGTGACAAGCTAGAAGCACCTCGCAAACAACGCTTCCCAGGCCGTTTTGTCGATGACATCTCAGCGCTGGTGTGCACCATTAGTGCTGAAATTGCGAGCCGTTGCCAGAAGGTTTGTGCTAAGGCTTCTCCTAGTGACCTGCTGCCTACCCCTTCTGCTCTTCATAATTTGCTTTGTGCCAGACTCTTCTAGCAAAGTAAAAGACTTAAGTCACATCTCTTGTTTTGGATCTGCATGATCCAGTAAGTGTATTGGACTAGGTCCACATTGTCTACTGAGCCTTGATCTAGAAGCCACTGTCAGAGATGGGAAAACATTTGTTTTCTTCACAGAAGCACAACCTGGATATTGTTACAAACAGTAACTCTTCTAATCAAAACATTGGTAGACCATGCAAATCGGAACTGTGAAGCTCAATTTTTCAGCACTGAACTCAACCATCTGAATCGGGCCCTACAGGCAAATGGCTACTCAAAAAATGAAATTACAAGAAACATTAAACCAAGAAAACAACAGCAAACTGAAGAGGAAAAACAGCCACCCACAAATCATTTCTGCCATACACCAAAGGGGTCATGGACCACATGGGGAAACTTTTGAAAAAATACAACCTGCAAACAGTATTCAAGCCCACTGCAAAAATACAACAAATTTTATGATCAGCAAAGGACAAAAAGGACGCCCTAGCCACTGCAGGAGTATATCGGATATTTTGCAGTTGTGCCCAAGTATATATTGGCACCTCAAAACGCAACATCCACACCAGAATCAAAGAACATGAAAGACACTGCAGACTAAAACAACCGGAGAAATTGGCAGTAGCTGAACATGCCCTAAAACTATCCAAATAAACTGCACCAGAGCACAGACAGAGTTCCTGTCCTCTGAAGATGCTGGCCAAAGAGACTGGCGAAATGTCAGAAAGAACAACCTGCAGAACACGGCCAAAGAGCCCAAAAAAACCCCACAACAACCATCAGTATATCTTCTCTTTTATCAAATCCAACAGGGGAACAAATTCAATCACATTCTGTCAAGTTTCTTCTGACCCTTCATAGGTTTTCTAGGTAGAAAAAGTTTCCTGTTCCCTTCTTCTGGGGGCACCCCGGGCCTGTGCAGCTTGCCCAAGACCACACAGGCTGGCACTTCTCCCAGGAGGCACATTGGGGAATCGAACTCTCAGTCCTTGGCTATGCAGCCAGGAGTTTTGACTCACTAAGTTAGCCAGCGGGCATGATGTTACATAGGAATACAAATTATTTATTTTCCAGAGCTTGCTTTTAAGAACAGATTTATTTGTTTTCTAAGTTTACCATAACTTGGAATTTCCAACGACACATGGAGGATCCTTTTGTCACCGTCTCACATTTGAGTCTTGTGCCTCTTTCCTAGGATGTGGAGCTGGTAGAACATCTCAACAGCAGCCTGGCCTTTTTTCTCAATGATCTGCTGTCCTTTATGGATCGTGGATTTGTCTTCAACCTTCTGCGCTCCTATTACAAGCAGGTAACTAGGGGAACCTTGGGACAGTTGGCGTGGGGCCAAAACTCTGGAGTCTTAATGAGGCTCTGGCTTCAAGAAAACTTCTTAGAGTATGGTTGAATGTGAAGCTTGGCAAGAGCACTCTGTTTAAAGGACAAGCCTTGAAATTTCAGGACACATACAGAGTCTCCTATCAGACAGCTTCCATTCTTCCCACTTAACTTTAGCAAAGTAAGAGACTTAAGAGACTTAGATGTGGGGAGAAAACAACATGAGTTCTTAGTGATTATAATATATTGGTTATGGCTACACATATATACATATATAAAAGGCAAGATACATTTGGCATAGTAACATTCAGAGGATTGACATAGAAGTAAATGACCACCAGACTTACTGCTGAGTGATAAGCTCTGTTCTGTCTCTGTTACATTTATACACAGAACAACCAATCACATTTCTCCATTACAGCTGGTCTTGTTAACAATCAAGCATTACATCAGCTTGTTACATCTCCATGCTGTTAGTCATTACATTGCCCTTTACTTTACATTAGTGACTCTTCACTTCATTACGGTATTAAAATTTAACTCCCTGTTCACCAAAAGAACAAAATCCTGACAGTGACACCATTTTCCCAGTATGACGATTGAAATTTTGAAAAAGGTTAGCCCAGAAAATTTAAGTTCAAGGATGTTGGTTTTAATTGCTCCATATTGTGGTGATACCTTTATATAGGACAACTAAAAAGTGTTCAGAGGCACATAAAAATACACACTTTCCTTCTTCTGGTGAGATTGAAGAAGGTTGATCTTAAGTCCTTCTTATACATATATATTGTTTGCACATGTGATGGACGAGAGCAAGTATATCTAGGGAAGACTGTGCTAGATCTTATCATTAAGGCAGAGAATGCAGAGAACAGAAATAAACAGTGGAGTATATGTCTACATGCAATAAAAGGACAAGCTACAAAGGTTCAGAGAAGCAGAAATGAAACATTCACATCCTGTAATAAAGCAAATTCTGTGAGACTGTTGGAAGTGATGGAACAGCAATCTCCATGATCTTTGAAACACAAAAGAGGTGAATGGTCCTCAGCAGAGGAGCACAAAAAACAGAACGAAAATCCGATCATAGATGCAAACAAATGATTCCAGTTCAATCAGAAGATAGTGTACATGAATTAGTGATAGCTGTGCTGGCACAAAAAAATTAATGCAAACTCCATATTGAAGTGATCCCTTTCTGGGTCAACCACAAACCACACTGCTGGAAAGGGAAGCGTTCTCAAGTGCTTGTGTATTTTTTTAATTTTTGTTTTTTGTGCCACTGTACACAGACTGCTTGTACATTTTTGGTCGGCCTAGAAAAATATCACTTCAATATAGAGTTTGCAGTGTATATGGTTTAGGATACATTTTGTTTGGTAGCATTCATACTTGATTGGAATCCCCAAATTTGTGTTTGAATTTGTCGTTGCAAATTGGGTTTCTTCATTTATTTTAGAGGAAAGTTCTGAAAGCTCTTGTGGCTCCTTTCAGAGTTTGGGACTGTCCCGTAAGGAGGGCAACAGTGGTGTCCTTTATTCCATAGCGGTCCCTTTCTCATGCCCCTCTGAGCCTACAATCCCCACTCCTCCTTCCAGTCGGCAAGAGTGAGTTGCTTCCTATCTGTGGACTTTCTCCATTTAATGTCCATGGTTGGTGGCCACATTGACACATAGGCAGCCCCCAGGAGTCAAGAGGGCTGCCTTGGCATGTTTGGATGGACTAATTATGCATGACTGCTCTGACTCGGCCGTTCACACTACTCGTGTTTACTATCAGAGTGGTATTTGTTCTTTTTAAAATATTTGCATACTTCCTCTTTTAGCTTTAATATTATTTTTAAATGATGTTGATTGCCTCTTGGGTTCTTTTGAGGAGAAGGACAGGGTAAAATACTTTAAATAAAGAAATAAATAAAATTTATACTCATTGTTCTTAGCCTTAAATATTGTCTTCTAATGATGTAATCTGCCATTGTATAATCTTTGTTTTCAGCTTTAAATACTGCCTTTCAATGATGTAAGCTGCCTTGGGTCCTTTTTAAGGAGAAAAGTGGGGAAATAATACCGTGTTTCCCCGAAAATAAGACAGGGTCTTATTTTAATTTTTTGCTCCAAAAATGCATTAGGGCTTATTTCCAGGGGATATTTCATTTTTATTTTTTTTATATACAACCTACATTTATTCAAATATAGTCATGTCATCTGGTTGCTGCACAATGGTGGAGAGCAGGGTTTCACTTAACTGGGGCTTATTTTTGGGGTAGGGCTTATATTACGAGCATCCTGAAAAATCATAGTAGGGCTTATTTTCAGGTTAGGTCTCATTTTTGGGGAAACAGGATATTTTAAATGATAATGATAATAATAATTTTTCTGAGCCTTTTGCTACTCAGTTGTAATCAATGCTCTGATGTGGCATTGAAGAGGAAGATGGCAATTTAGGATGATTGCCACTTGAGCCGGAAGGGTGATGGTGATTGCTATGCTCAATCCAAGATAACTAGAGGATCCCCCCCTCTCTCCCCCAGATCAATAACCGACTGCTGACCACCCAGAACCCCAACGTCCTCATTGCTCTGAGGATGGACTTCATCCGTATCATCTGCAGCCACGAGCACTACGTTACCCTGAACCTCCCCTGCAGTGGCCTCTCCCCACCTGCTTCCCCGTCTCCGTCTGTCTCTTCAGCAACCTCCCAGGTAAGTGGGCCAGCCAAAGGGACCAGAGAAGAGAACGCTCCAGGGGTGGGTGGGCTCAGGCCAAGGGGCTGCAGTCGTGTCTCTCAAAATTACTCGCGAGAGGCTCCTGGAAGGCCCACACACACACACACACACACACACACACTCTTCTTGTCCTGGCTGGTGCTGCAGACATTGCAGGTTGTTTATTGCATCCTTAGAGAACTCTCCTCTGTGAATCTGGTCTGTCCTACTGGGCACCTCAGTCACGTGGCTGGGCCGACATGGGAGACAAAATGGAAGACGGATGGCTTAAGGAAGGTTTAACCAGTTGTTTTAGGAAGAAATCGGAAGATGAGAAAGTTGGGTTCCTCTCACAGTGCTGGAAGGAGGCTCACATATGGGTTCAGGAACCTTGATGGACTTAGGTCCAGCCTTGTTAATGCATGAACACATGGAGTAACTTCAAGGTCCTGGTTGCAAAATGACTCACTCAGACACGATCAGCTTCTTCCAACACCCGATGTGTATTTACAGGATATTTACAAATATACAGAGCAACAGCATGACACCATGAATTCATCAGAAGAGCAGGAATACATCTTCTCTACACAGTCCACATATATACACTTATGCTTCTGGCTGTATCTAGTCAGTGCAGATGTTGCATCATCTTTGAGCCAGCCCTCCTGAGTCACTGTGACTCAGCATTTTGACACATCTGAACATCATGGCTGCTCATTAATACATTTGTTCTGCTCAGGCCTGTAAATTTTATACTCTGACAAACCTTCAAGCTGAGGCTTCTTTCTCCCTGGTAGCAGCTTGTGCCTTAATATTTTAAATAAAGGTGTCAACATTTATTATTTTAGCATTTATCAGCTGTAATTACTGTCATTATTGCCCACTTAAAAATCACTTTAAATATCATTTCTTTAGTGTGTTTTACTATTTACGTAATTACTAAACTGGTGTGTTAATATGTTAATTTGTTCATTAATTTAGTGATATTTTCTGAACAGTTTCAACCCTTTAACCAGTTGATTCCCCCCGCCCCCATGGTTCGGGGTTTAAATGCATTGACAATAGTACTGTGTTGCAACTGATGTGGAAAGGGCTGCCGGGCTAACAAGAGGCCTGGGTGTTAGAGTTTGCACTCTTGATAGTAGGGACAGGACCTCGTGCTAGCAGGGAGAAGACTCAGTTCTGCTCCAGGTTTCTCGCAGGCCTTCACTTTTTCTAGGGTTCGGCTTTCTCCAGCCACACACAAGACCAACGAGTGGCCAGCATGTTCGAGCTCTCCGTGGCCTTTCGGCAGCAGCACTTCCTGGCAGGGCTGGTGCTGATGGAACTGGCACTCATCCTGGAGCCAGAGGCAGAGGGGTAGGTGTGCTCCTTTGGCTGGTTTGTGCCTGATGCTGTTTGCTGGTTTAAGTTGTTTATTACCTGCTCTTCAGCTAGAGCTCAGAGCAGCGTACAAGAATAAAATTGTGGGAGAAAGTGCGTATCAGCAAACCAAGCAAATCCAGAGGCAGAGATGAAATTTAGCTATGGAAAAAAATTGTAATTAAAAGTTGAAGGGTAAGAGGAAGCTTTTTTTTTTTTGTCCTGATGTTAAACAGAGAACAAAACTGGTGTAAGCTGAGATTTACTGAGAAGGGTACTCCCTTTGCAACTGGAAAGGCTCCCGTCTATAGTCACCGTCCATTTTTCTTGACATGATGTGAAGGAATCAAAGCAAGGATGTAAGGGTTGGGTAGGCAGTCCTTAGATACATGGCCTGAAGCTGTTTAGGGCTTTTCGGGTTAAAGCTAGAGTTTTGAATGGAGCCCAAGAATGGACTAGAATTCTGTATAGTTCTTCCAAAACTGGTGAGAAAATATTCTGTATGTCCAGTCTCAGCTAATGCAAAATACGGTGAGCATTTGGATTGTGTTTCCCCAGCAGTGCTCCATGCAATGCATGCTAGTTGCTTTAACAAGGTGTCACGAATGCATGGCTCACTGTTTCATGGCACACCATCCACAGCTGATGGATGATGCTTTGTGTCACTGAGCTGCTGAAGTTAGGGTTGGATGTAGTAACCTTACCCACAGGTCACAATGGACCTGATCTATCAAGGGGAGGATAGCTCTCTCCGGATGAGGCTGAACATTGTCTTGAGGTTAACTGTCCATCTTACCTGGACTGAGTTTCAGTTTAATGTCTGCTTCAGCAGAGCTGAGCCCTGGATTAATGGAAGAGCACAGCACCATTTCATAACTGTTTATTAATCCCAATCGATACCAATGCATCTGGGTTTGTGGAGAGAGGACATGCTGAGCCACTTCCTTACCCAGGAAATAGAGGCTGGAGTTTTCCCATCTCTTGAATAACTAGGGCAGCACAGTTCAGTGGTTAGGTCCACAGGGCCTTTGAAGTCACAACCTTTCCTTTCTGACACTGCTCCTCTTCCCTCAGGGCTTTCTTCCTGCAAAAGAAAGCAATCAGCGCTTTGCACAACTTGTTGTGCAGCCATGACTCAGACAGCCGCTTTATGGACCGCGTTGTGCGGGCGCACGTGGCTCAGCTCTATTTGCCTCTGATTGGCATCGTCATGGATGCTCTCCCTCAGCTCTACGACTTCACAGGTGAGTCCAGATAGCATGGCTGGCAGAGAGATGGTCCTGTTGGGGAATAAAAGATGGAAGGGCCAATAGGTACAGGTTCCTAGTCAGTCCAAAAGATGACTGCTCCCCCCGAAAACTTAAGCCTGGGTCCTCTGTTCTTTTCCACATTTTAAGAGAGGAGCCTATTAACCAAAAGGTTTTGGTATTCTGGGCATCCATCCAGTTCTCTCAAATCGGGCGATTAAGGGCTACCTTCTCGATGGAGGGCATATCCAGATACCCAGGGTATGAACTTCAGCGGCTAAGGCTTGATTTACCAACCACTTTGATACAGTGCTCAAAAACACTGTGCTGTCTGTACCTAGTGAAGCCCTGTTGAGTTGGCTGTTTCAAAAGGTGCTTTGCATATATAGCTGTTTCAACTCCCCCACTGTGATGCCTCCCTTTGCAAGGCAAAACAGTGAAAGGTTTCTGCTTTACAGAGAACCACAGCCAGCGAGGGCGCCTGGCCTCTGTGATGGCCGAGGATGGAGATGGGGATGGCAGCACCATCAGCCCCTCGGTCGCCTTGGCCATTGCTGGCTCCCCCTTGCCCCACGCTCATCGGTCCACAGTCTTCCCAATGCCTTCAGTGGTGAGTGTTTTTTTGACTTTGTGGGAAGACGAGATTAAAGAGTTATAGGCTCATTGGGATTGGAAGTCTCTGTGTGTTAAGAGACAGACTTTTACCTCTCAAGGAGCTGGACCCGATGATCCATAGGGTCCTTTCCAGCTCTGCAGTTCTAAGAACACTAGAGAGCTTCCCCCATAGAGAACAAACAAGATCTATCGGGAACTTGTTGGAATTGCAGTGGAATAAACTCAGGAGTGTCTTCACAGAAAGGACTGCACGTGTTCAGGTTTGTAGCACACTTGTGAAAGTAGATTTGAAAGTTTCCAAAGAGGTCGCCATGTGAGCTTAATTTCAGCAAACTGGCAAAAAAAAGGACAAAATAGTGTGGCACCTTAAAAACTAGCAAATTTGAACAGAAAGGCTGAACATGCAACTGGTTAGTTGGCTCCCTTCACTTTTATCTTTTCAGCATTTCTCTTGCAGTCAAACCTGCCCAGCATACAGCTAATCACCCTGGCTATAGCCTGCAATTTTAAGTATTTACTCTCTTGATAGTCCCATTTCTGTGTTAACAGTGCATTGCCCCTTTGTCTGTGGTCTATCTCCTTACTTGGTCATGAGCCCTGTAGTGAAGGCTCATCCTATAAACACAAGTGGCATTTTATAAGTGTTCCATGGGCCTGTTTATGCTGAAGGGGCAGCAGTATTCTGTCCCATGGGGGGGGGGTTGTGTGTGTGTGTGTGTGTGTGTGTGTGTGTGTGTTGTGGTTTCTTTTTTCCTCATCAAATTACAGAAAGAAGCCAATTTAAAAAAGCAAACAAACATGTGGAGCACAGATGAGAACATCTCGTGCCAGCATCCACCTCACAGTCCAAAGAAACCATGATCAGATGTTGAGTATTTTGTGAGACGTTCAGAGGAGGAAGGAGAGCCTTCCTTGGTGTGTGTGTGTGTGTGTGTGTTGTGGTTTCTTTTTTCCTCATCAAATTACAGAAAGAAGCCAATTTAAAAAAGCAAACAAACATGTGGAGCACAGATGAGAACATCTCGTGCCAGCATCCACCTCACAGTCCAAAGAAACCATGATCAGATGTTGAGTATTTTGTGAGACGTTCAGAGGAGGAAGGAGAGCCTTCCTTGGGGGGGTTCGGGAGTGGCCAAAGAGGATGCATCTCAGAGGGATCCTGTCACAGTGATATCCTCTTAGGTGAGGTGGCCCCCCATCCATGCTTGGTGAAAGCCTTGTCAGGGTAGACAAACAAACAAACGAAACCAATCCCAAGGTTCTGGAGGCCATTTATGTTGGGCAGGATCTATAGAGCCCTGGGTAGTGCTACTCCCACCCCTGCCTCTTGCAATCACTGTTACATCTGAAGTTGGTAGAGCCAGGGCCGTGTGGTCCTGCATCGCTTGAGAGCCTTGTCACGCCTGGGAGTGGGTGGGTGACTGTGTCCCATCAAGCATATGAGCTGCCCTGAGCTTGGTTTTTCCCTGGCTTGCAGCCTTCCCGCCAATACAACATGCTCTCCGCGGAGGCCAGTCGCAACCTTCTGGTGTGTCTCCTCTGGGTCCTGAAGAATGCAGATGAGTCTATGCTGCATCGCTGGCTGGCTGACCTCTCTGCCTTGCAAGTCAACCGGCTCCTTGACCTTCTCTACCTCTGTGTGTCCTGCTTTGAGTACAAGGTTAGACCTGTCTGGGCGTCCTAGTCTGCTGCTTTATCTCAGGGCCAGAGGCAGAACCCTAGGTTCCACACCTTCAGCAAAAGTCACTTCCTTTCCCATAGGCTAGTATGGAGAGCCAGAGCTCGCTGCTCAGCACTCTTGCGACAGAAGCTGGCACCTTGTGTTTAAAAAGTCCTTGTTTACTGGGGTGGGAAGACAAGGAAGACTGCAGGGATTATAAACCCCTACATGGGTCCAAGATTTTGAATAATGAAGTCCACAGACAGGTTGGAATTCATGCCGAAACATTTAGTTTACAATACTAGCTGAGTACATGTGAACCGTAAGAGGAAGAAAGTGAAGGAAAACACTGAAAAATTTACTATGTTAATACTGCTTTCCCCCCCGCTAGCTGCAGATCTCAAAACAGTGAGAAAAACCAGATGAAGCAGAGAAGTGTAGCATTAAAAAGAACGTTGAAGGTCGTTCCAGTCCAGCTCTCTGCCAATGCAGGAGATTCACACCAAAGCATTTCCTGCTGATGGCAGGAAGTCAACAGGTTAAAAAGCATTTCTAATGGTTCCCCATCCAGATGGATGGTAGATGAGCTGTGGAGGGGAACATGGCCTTTGGAGTCTTGAAATATCTCTTTTGTTCCAAGTGAGGAGTGACAGCTTGCAGGTACAAGTAGAGTATTTTCTGGAGTATTTGGTGCTGAGCTATGACACCAAGTGATTCCACCCCAGCCAGATATATTTCCTTGTGAGGGAGTTGAAAGACTTCTGTATTCCACTGCTCAGCTCCCTCCTGAAAAGGGCACTTCCTTCAGAAAGCAGTTGTGTATTAGGTTCCCATGGTCTCTGGGATCTAAAAACGAACTTCTTCAAGCTACAGGAAGAAGAACTGCCAGCCAGATCTTCTTCCTGTAGCTTGGAAAAGTTTTTTTTTAGAGTATTGTACCATAGTACTCATTACCCCTCAGTTGGCGTGGTCTCTGGCTATGGGGTTCTGGGAACGGATTCCAAAAAATGGAAGTTTTCCAATCTCTGCTTCTTAGGGCAGTGAAACTGCCTCCTCTTGCTTACGGACAGCTCCTGAGACCAGATGTCCTTTTGTCCCACAGGGCAGGAAAGCCTTTGAGCGCATCAACAGCCTAACCTTCAAGAAATCTCTGGATATGAAAGCGCGACTGGAGGAAGCCATCTTGGGCACAATCGGGGCACGCCAGGAGATGGTTCGGCGTAGCCGAGGTGAGAAGTATTGAAATGGGGAGGGGACGGCCATCCTTCGCTTGCTTCTGCTTTCTTTCAGTTTTCACACATGTAAGCAAAGCATGCTGGGAGTGATAAAGGGTCACCGTGCTAAAATGCCACTGGAAATACCAGTCTGGGTGTTGGTTCCTGAGATTAAGGTGGTAGGGAGGCATTTTATTATAGACCCCTGTTCATTTGTGCTTTAACTAAAAAATCATTTATACTGCTGGTCTTGATTCAGATATTTGGAGTCTTCAGAAGAATTTTTTTGCAACTTCTGAAAGCATAAATGTATTGTAAAGTTGTAACTGAAGAAAAGACACTCCTCTTTTTTTTTCTGAAAACAATTTTTCTATAATCTGGGAAGATGTTTGCCTCATTTAATTGAAACATTTGGTTTGTTTTTTTCTCTCTAGGTTTTGATTGTTTGGTAGATTTTAGATAAATAAAAACAAAAAGGGTTTTATTGCTAAAGTAGCTTGATTTTTTTGTTGTGCTGTTATAAAGACGGGGCATTCTGTGTGACCTGTACTCAGAATAATCTGCCATTTCGCTCTAGTGGGTGAGAGGAATAATATGACAAAAGGTTTTAAAATTATGGTGAAGAATGAAAACAAAAAAAAACTCATTGTGAACACAAAACCTTATTAAAAAGGGGAAAAAAACCCTTAATTTCTTCTTTGTGGGCTATAAGAAAAATCCTTATCTTTGTGGAGAAAATCCAAGGGCTCTCTAGGTGCTTCTGTCCACTTGCATTCATTAATCCCTGGTAAACTGACTGTCTGGGACCTGCTCTTAAGCCCAAAATGCTCTGACAGCCCTTTTGTTCCCTTTCTCCACAGAGCGCAGCCCGTTTGGAAATCAAGAAAATGTTCGCTGGAGAAAGAATATTGCCCACTGGAGGCAGAATTCGGATAAGGTGGACAAGTGCGTTTTTGTGGGCAGCTCTGGTGGGGTGCAGGGCAGCCTTCACCGCCGGCTGTGCTGGCTGGAGTTTCTGGGAATCGCAGTCCCAGCACACCTGGGTTACCCAAAGTTGGGAACCCCTGGGCTACAGGGCCAATGCGGTAGAGCCTGCCTGTATATTTGGCTAGGAACAAGATGGCTTTTGACTCTTCTCTCACTACACCTGCCCTCAGTCTCTGATAATCGTGTTTCCAAACTCCTTCCACCTTTCCTCATAAGGAACATGTTGCAGCCTCTTGACCCCTTTGCCTGGGTGAAAGATTCTAGGACGGACTAAAGGAAAGGAGCAGCAAGGTGTATATTGGGAGCCGACTGTCGTTGGCTTCCCATGTTGAGGAATGGGGCTCTTCATCTTCATCCTGAAGGCTGCTTGGCTGGTACAGTGAGCAGAAAACGGCTGAGTAAGCTTGGAAGCTAAAATAGGCGTTGGATCGTAAAAAGCATGTGAATGTATGTTCTTTTCTTAGGTCCAAAGATGAAATGGAGCATGATGCCCTTGTGGATGGGAACATGGCCACAGAGGCCAATATGGTGGTCCTAGACACACTGGAAATCATTGTGCAGGTAGGTCCCGTGGAGGCCCCAGCCTTGCACCTATTTTTGAGGGCATTCAGCAAGCAAACGTTCCCGCTGCATTGGCTCTGGAGCCCTCAGAACTGGCCCTCAAATACCCCCAAGACAGTAGGTTGCTTTCTAGCTTAGTTTAGGATCTTGCACAAGCATCTGGCAGGCTTCTGGTCAGAAACAGTGGGTGTGGAGGAAGATGACAAGAAGCAGAAAAGTGGGCGAAGACAATAGGAAAAGAACAAGCCTATTATGTGTATCATGTGGGTGTGGAGGAAGATGACAAGAAGCAGGAAAGTGGGCGAGGACAATAGGAAAAGAACAAGCCTATTAGGTGTATCATAGAAGAGTTGGAAGGGGCCTGTCAGGCCTTTGAGTGCAACCCCTCTGCTCAATGCAGGAATCTAAATATAGTATCGTGGAATAAGGAATAATCCTATTTAGTGAATAGTTGGTCAATAATGACTTTGGTTATTTTCTTCCAGTACTGTGAAAGTCTCCCCTTCCTTTTCTTGTTTTGTCTTCTTCTTGGAATTGCAGTAGGGCCAAAGCAAGGCTGAGCTGGGGGGGGGCAAGGGAAGCAGAAAAGGGTTGTAGCCCAGTTTGATAAAATGCAGATGCCAAGACCGAAGGAATAAGATGAAGAAGAGACCCAAAAAGGAAGAGAAATGGTTATGGTAGAAAAGAACTCTCGTCTCTTAGCCGTTACAAATGCAATCATTTAAGGAAAGAACCAGACCAGGCGCTGCTACAGAGGGAAGAGAGGTCTTATGGTAGAAAAGAACTCTCGTCTCTTAGCCATTACAAATGCAAGCATTTAAGGAAAGAACCAGACCAGGAGCTGCTAGAGAGGTCTTGCAAGCCCCCTCCCCCCCCCCTGGGTGGTCTGCCTGGGGCTTTTATTCCACAATGCAACAATGGAATTTGGCACATTGAGGAACAGGACTTTCTCTTTTGAAACTGTATACTAGAATGTGAGCCTTAAAAGTGGGTTTTGGGTGAGGAAGGCTGTCTGTAAAGCACTGGCTAGAGGGGTTCTTACGTATAGAAGAGATTCAGTCGGACTCCAGTAGCTAGAACCCTAGACGTTAGTTATGCTGGCTTAAACTGCCGTGGCAAATTGTCCCTAGTCAACAAGTTGCCGTTTGTATCCCATTGTCATGTGCCAGCTGGGCTTGCTGGTACCCTTCCTAACATATCTACCTAGTAGGATTCAGTCCAGTGTGTTTTCAGAGTAGCTTTTGAAGGAAATGCAAGGCTTATGAACGAATAATTTGCTTGGCACAGCTTCTCTCTCCTTTGAAACGTGCTGAGAAGGTGAGGTGGAGGAGTGGATTTTTCCCCGTTGGATTTTGTTGAAGAAGCATTTACGTTTCCTTTGATAAAAAGTTTGTTTACAATGGATTGGTAACTGTACCTCCTTGCGTAGGGTTTCTTTTGTTTTCTTTTGGTGTTGGTTCTTTTCTTGGCACTCCTGCACCTGTCTTTGAAGATCATGGGGAGGTGGGTGTGTTGGAGTAGAGAAAGGTAGGGAGAAGGCCATCAACAGCTCAGTTTTGCTTAGTGAGCACAAATTGTCCCGCTTGCAGAATTTCATTTTACAAGAGTAAAGACTTTGATTTTCTTGCCACTGATTTTAATGACTTCTTGCAACAAGGCCTTCATGTCAATAGACATATGTGTTCCCAAAGAAAGATTTCCCGCATCATGGAACGGTTGCATTTCTACAACAGCTGCTTACGTGAAGTGCCTTGCATGTATTCTGAGTGAGTGCAGCTTAGAGTCTGACTGGGAAAAGCAGATGTGGGCACAGAGTTGTTTAGAGAAGTCTTTCGAGAGGTTTCCTCCGTTAATTGGGAAAATTGGGAAAGGAGGAGAGGAATATTGCGTGGTGTGTGTTCTGAAATTTTTAAATTGCCACCATCTTGGTTGGTCTGTTTTTTTTCTCAATAGTTTAGCATTTTATGGCAGTTTCATAATTTACATTTCATTCTCGGTTGTGCATTGCCCAGAGTAGTGATTTGCTAGATGAGCGGTATATAAATTGAATAATTTTTAGCATAGTTGCATTCCTTTTCCTCTTAGAATTCTTAAATGGTCTTCCTTCTTTCCTTCCTCTGCAGACCGTGATCTTGTCAGAAGCCAAGGAGAGTGTCCTGAGTGGGGTGATGAGGGTGCTTCTGCACAGCATGGGCTGCACTCCCAGTGCCTCCTTCCTGGAACACTGTTTTGCTACCCAAAGGGCACTAGTGACCAAGGTGAGTGTGCTGGGTCATCTTAGCACAAACAAATTCCTATTGAATCTGCTGCTTCTGTTTGCCAGGTATCTGGTTCCGCTAATTAGCGTTTCAGTGTTTGAAATTCAAAATGCCAGGAAATGGATGCACAGTATCATTGCCAGCAGGAAACTGAATGGACAGTATCATGCCCGCATTGCCAGCAGGAAAATGAACGGCAAGCTTTTCATAGCAAAAGGGCAGCCTGAATGTTGACAACACCCATGGCAGCAGTCAAGATGGTCTACAGGAGAACCTCTTCTTCTCACTGCTATTCACAAAGTGACAGCATACAAGAGAAAATCCCAGATGCTGATTCCATTTAAAATAGCATATTTCATCCCTTGTAGATTTTATGGTGAAATTGGGGTTGGGAGCGGGTGGCCACACACTGGAACCTGAGAGAAGGGCCTCCTGGAAGATCTTAAAAAGCAGATGGAGTTGGGTGTCATCAGCACACTGGTGGTACCAGTCCACAAAAATACTGGAAGCCTCTTTCATGTTTTTTGTATACATGTGAAACAGTATGAATAATCATGGAACCCTGAGACACTCCACAGGCTAATGGTCAAGGTGTTGAAAGGAGTCCTCCAGCACCATTACTCTTCACAAAGTGACACCACACATTCATAAACCGTAGATTTATTTTTTGAAGGGTTAGATTATGCAGTACTGCCCACAGCAGTCTTTTCCATTATGGCACTTCAGGTGTAGAACTGCCTCCATATAGATGCCTGCCAGACCCTCTCTCCTTCCTGTTGTACAATTTCTGTGCAGAGGTACAGCCTGCAAAGGTCCCATCTATTAGCTCTCACTGTTCTCTTGTGTGTTAACACCTTACTTTTTTTTTTTTTGAAGTTGTCGAACTATCTCGAACATTTTGCTTTGTACTTTGGTTTGCAGTCCATAGAAGCACACTTTTTGAATCATGGTAGAATGAAATAACATCAGGCTTGTGCTTGCAGTTCCCCGAAATGCTTTTTGAGGAGGACACGGAGCTGTGCGCTGACCTCTGCTTGCGTCTTCTGCGCCATTGCAGCAGTAGGGTGGCCACCATCCGGACCCACGCAAGCACCTCGCTCTACCTTCTCATGCGGCAGAATTTTGAGATTGGCAATGTAAGTGTGGTAAAGAGTGAGGAAGTGCTAGGATGATCCTCAGCCTGCTTGGCCAGGAAATGACTTCCTCTAGAGACAGCTGGACCATCGCTAGGTCCAGGCAGCTGAATCGGCCCACTGAATTCCGGAGCATTTCTCGGTTTCCCTACCCTCTGTTTGCTTTCTTCCCCTCTGCTGATATTTAGATTGCAATTTTCTCGGAGCCAGGACTCATACTATAATATGGGATGTCATATGTGATTATAATAATGATTTTCCAGGTTTTCTTGAGTGTTAATGTTGTAAGTTACTCCTGGCTTTTAAGGAATTTTTTAAATGAACTTTAAAATGGTTCTATTGGGTTCCACCCCCCCACCCCCAAAGCCCATCATTTTAAATTCTAAGAAAGGAATTTTCAAGTAAATGTGAGAATGAAATAGCTGATGGTAACAGTTAGTCAACCATGGAATGGACCATGGTGATAGGTTTTCGTTCAGGGAAGGTCTTTAAACAGAGATGAGATGGCTCCCTGTCAGGGATATTTTAGCTGTGGATCTTCTGCGTTGGAAGGAGAATGGATTCAATGATCCTCTGGGTGCTTTCCACCTGTACGATTATACTGCTGTGCTACTTTTAGTTGGTTTTTGTTTGTTTTGTTTTGTTTTTCAAAATTATGTATGCCTAAATCAAAAGCTAGTCTGAACTAGTATATTCTGTTAGACCCATTGAACCCATAGGAATTACCTAAGTGTTGACTTACCATTTAGGGATTTATTCAGTGGGTCTACTGTGGTTGGGCTTAGCAATTTTGATTTAGGCCACTATGTACACCGATGGTGTTATATGAGTAAAATAATAAAACGTCAGTGCCAGCCTGGGTCTCTCATGTGGGAAGTGAGGGTGGATCCTCTCAAAGACGCTTCCAGGAAGCCAGCATGCAGCCTGAACGCCTCCCTTTGGCAACTGTCCGAAGACAGGTTTTGTTGCCGAAAAAGGCGAAACATAGTCAGGAAAATAAGGAATAATCAAGATTGTCTTTTTCTTTCTGTGTATATTTGGAATTTTGTTTTTGACTTTGTTGTAGCTAGAACTGTCACCCATAAATAATGTGAAGTAACAGCTAGCATTTCTGCGGCCACCTTTCTGGTACAGAACTTTGCCCGAGTGAAGATGCAGGTCACCATGTCCCTCTCCTCACTTGTGGGAACCTCTCAAAACTTCAATGAGGAGCACCTGCGGCGTTCCCTGAAGACTATCCTGACTTATGCTGAGGAGGACCCAGAGCTGCGAGAGACTACATTTGCTGAGCAGGTATTGTCCCTGACAGACACGGGCCGTGGGGGTCAGGCCAGAGGCTTTTGGCTTCACTGGGCCCATGTCTAAAGGGCACGAGGTTCTTCAGAGGCAGTGGCAACTTCGCCTTTAACAGCTCAAGGGTGAAAAACTCTGCATGCTCTTGGTTCTGCTCTTTCTGTCCAGGAGTTTCCTCGTTCTTCTGGTTTCTTTCAGAGTGTTGCCTGGTAGGAACTTGCTGCCCGTTATTTTATTTCATTCATTTAAAATATTTTTAAACCACCTTTCTCCTTGAAAAGGACCCAATTAAAAGACAGTATTTAAGTTACTAACAATGAGTATACAGTACTAAAGGAGCTAATGAATACAAAACCAAAGAACATAAGCAACATCAAAATACATTAGATGCCGTAAACCACAACAATCCATTTTATTTATTTATTTATTTATTTATTTTATATCCCGCCTATCTGGTCGTGTCATTTTTTAAAAACCCAGTTGGCAGCCATTCACACAGGAAGAGAAAGAAGCAGCTTGAGATGAAGGGAAATTCAAGAAAAGCAAGAGGGTGAATTGTAAGGAGGTGAAGCATTATTTATTAGTGGTTGTGTGACTAAGGAAAACACGAACTGTGCATCTGTTTGGCCTAGAAATCAAATTTGGTAGGTACTCTGTGTATCCACAAATTTGGTAGGTACTCTGTGTCTCAGGTAACACAACCTCTCCCTAGAACATACAGATACGTGGGGGGGGGGGCGGGGGGTTGGATGTGAGTGTGTGGAGGAAACCTGAAGCTGTCCTTTGAGTTGACGTATGGAGGAAACAATTTCTGGGCTCAGTGTTGTTCAAAATAACGAGCAAAGCCTGTTATTATGAGACATAGTCTGTGGAACAAAGGAGGCTCAACGTCTCAAATTTCAGATAGTACTAGTATACTGTCCTGTTTATTATAGATGCATTTTATACTTTTATACTTTTCTCAAAACAAGCTAATAGAAAAAATTATCTACTGTGACCATCCCTTACTATATTAACACCTGAGTAGGCTCATAAACGGAGATGTGGTCTTCAAGATATCTTGGATCCGAGGTCTTTATAGGTTAGGTCTTTATAGGTTAAAAATATAACACGGGGTAGTCCTTTCTACTGTTACCTCTATAATTAATTTATTAATTTATTCATAATTAATTAATTATGAACCAGTCAATCTTAATTTACAGTTAATATTTTTTAATTTTGCAGGGATATGTCTGTGATACATTGATATATACTGCTTTCTTTTGAACAAATGATATATATTATTTTGCCCATGCATTCAACTAAAATCTTTACTGTATTTGTAAAAACCAAACTATAATACTATAAAATGGTTGATTAATTTTGGAACACTGATCATCTCAGATTTAAAAAATAATGTCTAAAATATGTGACGCAGATAATACATCTAAATGGGGGAAATTATCACATCCTGCATCAGAAAATGTTCCCTTTTTGGAAAACAATCACAGTATTCAGTATCAACTGGATTTTTTATAAAAAGAGCTTAAAATGGCTCTATGGTGACATTTAGTGCCTTGGAAAGAATTTGGTGACTGTAAATCTGAAAATGGCTAACGTGGCACTATTTTAACAATCGTAACCTAATACTTACCATATGCATGGAAATAATTGAGCTTTGGCAAATTGTTGTTAATGAAATTTTCAATGTCGAGACAAATCTGTGTGTTGTCCTTACCCAGCCTTACTCCAAAGGTTAAGTTCTTGCAGCTGAAGGCAGGAAAAGTCAGCGGAGGAAAAAGTCTTAAGGGATCCAGGTGAACCCCATCCTGCTTCCTAGACTAGGCTCTGCTGACCTTCATCTTGTTTACAAGTATTCAAGCAGGTGTACTTGTTTCCTCAGGCACCCTGCTCACGTTCACACACACACAATCCCTGCTCTTTGCAGAAGTGATTATGTTCTTGTGCCTGTGACCTATGGTTGTCAAGAGAGGTTGCTTCCTCCTATGCCTGCCCAGGTTCAAGATCTTGTCTTCAACCTGCACATGATCCTGACTGATACAGTGAAGATGAAGGAGCACCAGGAGGATCCCGAGATGCTAATAGACCTCATGTACAGGTAGGCCAGTGTCCCAGGAAAGGACACGGAGGCAAAGAGTAACTTTTTTGTTTGTTTGTTTGTTTTTTTGGTGTTTTTTTTTGAAGCCTCACAGCTTTCTTGGTCACTTCCCAAAGGAAGGATGAGCCAAGACCAAAACAAAATAAAACATGGAAATTGCATTGGAACAGGAGGCAAAAAAGTTCTGCCCTGCTTCACCTCTGAGTTTACTAGTTGGTGGTTGGCAACCCTTGTTTGTCCAGCAAGAGATGCTGACCTGTCCCTAACGGGGGGAAAGAAGCTTCAACCATTGACAGGAGCATGGACTACACATAGCCTTATAGGGCATGGAAGCCAACAAGAGACCAGTGCTTCCTTTCTTTAAAGGGTTTTAAAAAGGTGGACTGTTTCTGGAGAAAATTAAAGAGAAAAATTATAAAAACGGATCTGCGGGGTTAAGCGAGACTTCTCATTTTCATCTCTTTGAGCCTTTGTGGGGTTTGCAGGTTTAAAGGGCAGTGTGTGTGGTTTTTTTGTTTGTTTGAAAAGCACAAAATGGAGATAGGGGGCCTTGGATTGCTCACTGTGGTGACAGAAAACTCTTTGTTTGCTGAAAGTGCCTTTAAAAGGGTCCAGAAATGAACCCCAGTTTCTGAGAGAACCCTAACGGAACAATGCTTCACAAACTGTGTGAATGAAAAAGAAAACAAGTGCCCTCGGACACGGCGCCTACTATCTGTGACTGTCGTTTGTCCCTCAGGATAGCCAAGGGGTACCAGACCTCCCCAGACTTGAGGCTGACGTGGCTACAGAACATGGCGGCAAAGCACTCTGAGCGTGGGAACCATGCAGAGGCAGCTCAGTGTTTGGTGCACTGCGCGGCACTGGTGGCAGAGTACCTGAGCATGCTGGAAGACTGCCGCTACCTTCCTGTCGGCTGTGTAACTTTCCAGGTAAGAGGACTGGTAGCAAGAACAGGACATCCCTGGGTCAAAGGCTGGTCTTTGGAATCAAGAAATTCTTCCTCTTCTCTTCAGCTCCTTCTTAGCTGGGGGCTTGAGGTGCCTGCCTCAGTCTTGCCTTCTGAGGGGAAGACTAATGGAACAGAAGTTCTAGCTCGCAGCTTTCCTTCTTTTCCTTCTTTCTTAAAAACAGTGGGCTCTGACGAACAGAAGTTCTAGCTCGCAGCTTTCCTTGTTTCTTAAAAACAGTGGGCACTGACTTCATCAGAACTGGGAGCTGGGCTCCTGGCCCCAGCAAAGCCTCAGTGCTTTATTGAGGTCCTGGATCAAATGCAGTACTTTAAACATTGTTTTGTGACCCTCCGGGGCCTCCCTCTGTTATGTATGTATTTATTTTTATTTAATTTGCAAACACCCTTCTCTCCCCAAAAAAGGGACGTGGTGGCGCTGCGGGCTAAACCGCAGAAGCAGGGTCAAAAGACCAGCAGTCGTAAGATCGAATCCACGCGACGGAGTGAGCTCCCGTCGCTTTGTCCCAGCTCCTTGACAACCTAGCAGTTCGAAAACATGCAAATGCGAGTAGATAAATAGGTACCACCTCGGTGGGAAGGTAAAACGGCGTTCCCTAGTCACGCTGGCCACGTGACAACGGAAACTGTCTTCGGACAAGCGCTGGCTCTACGGCTTGAAAAGCGGGATGAGGACTGCCCCCTAGAGTCAGACACGACTGGACTGAAAATGTCAAGGGGAACCTTTACTTTTACCTTCTCTCCCCAAGACAATCAAATCTCCAGAAGCCACCAGGAAACCGCAAGAAGAACCAAGATCCCAGAAGTGATCTTCCCGTCCTATCCCGTTCCACCTGGAATGGTGCTCATGGCAGGCACAGGGAGTGGTTGGGAAGAGACGTGGCTTCTCCCAGGTCATGAGAACATTTGTCGTGTCCATTAGGAGGACTCTTAGGCAGGGAGGAGAGAGTGAGAGACACAGTGCTCCTTCTGCAATCCACTTTTCTCTCTTTCCAAGAACATATCTTCCAATGTGCTGGAAGAGTCCGCCGTCTCAGATGATGTCCTGTCCCCTGACGAAGAAGGCATCTGCTCCGGGAAGTACTTCACTGAGCAAGGACTCGTGGGCTTGCTTGAGCAGGCAGCGTCCTCATTTAATATGGTGAGAGTTCAGTGTGTGATGTTGTGTAGCTTGCAAGGGAGAAGCAAACCATTGATTTCCACTATGTGACAACATCCCTTGTGTCTGGGGGTGCCAGCCTTCCCCTGCTGCTGCCTTTGCTGTGTTAGAGGCAAAACCCCAGGATCTAGGTAGCAGTTTGGCTTTAAGTGGCACCAGGTACTGCTTCATGAACAAAAATCAAGCAGCTGTCTTCATGGCTTTTGTGGACTCCCACTTAAGGGTTTTCCTGCACCTGCACATCATGTTCCAGGACTTTGCTAGTGCAGAACATTGAGTTTTGACGAGAGCTTTGCCATCTCTGTTGTGCGTACTACCTGGTCTCTCTCCAGTTCCTTTTTGTCCACCACCCAGGTAACATACTGTATGTATAGGAAGCTCTCCATGTGCCTTCTCCATTTGCCTTAACCTTTCCCTTCTTTTGCCCTGTTGATGGTACATCTTTTCAGGATGTTGCTGTTTCACTAATGTATACATGCTAAAAAATTCCAACTTGTATATGTATACTTGGCCATTTCAACCCATACACTGTCCAGAGACAGTGTGTCCATGGTCTACTGTGTCACTCATTATTCCTAAAAGGACTTGACAACATTTTCCCACCATTGACACCTTCCTCAAACTTATCCTCAGAACCAGAGGGCTAAAGTATTTGAACCTCTGGTCCCAACCAATCTCTGCTCACTTACCATCAAAAGTGCCTGTCTTGTCGTCCTCTCATCGGCAAGACAATGCCAGTGAAATCTGTGTGCTCCCTGTAGACCTGCCATATCTAGTCTTTCCGAAAGCCAAGGTGATCCTCCATCCAGATGTATCTTTTCTACCCAAGGTCATCTCTGACTTTCAACTAACCTAAGACATCATATTATTTACTTTTCCCCCTGAGCCACAAAGTGATATTGAAAAATCTCTACATGCACTGGGTGTTTGTAAGACACTAGATTTCAGTCCTATTTTACTTCAGTGAGACTGTCATATATACATTAGGATGCAGCACTGCACATCTCTTTTTCCAAACCGTCTCTTCTAGCGAAACAAAGTGTCAAAAATCTGAAGAGACTTCAGTTGGAATTCCAGTGCCCCAAGCGACTTCTGATTTGCATGGATCAAAACGGATTCTTGTTTGAAGGAATCTCTGCCAATTTCATTAAAGCCACAATTGCTTTGTAAAGCAGCATGCTGAACCATCAGTCTTGGACTTGGAGCCTGCTTTTCCTTTCCTTTCCTTTTTACTTTTTCTGTAGAGCCCTGCTTGGAAATGTGCAAATCATATTGTCTTGCAAAGGGCTGTTGCCTTCCTTGGTAGGGGCTTCCAGCCCTTCCCGGTGGACCTATGCCATATGTGCCTTTTCTGTTCTGATGGTCCTGTAGCAGCTGTCTCGATCTGGGATGTAACACACAGCCATCCTTGTTGATAAGTGGAAAGTGGAAACCTGCAACTTTCAACTCTCTGGAATCAGGTGGTACTTGGAGGCTCCATCTAGTCTTATAAAGCTGCTTGCTTGTCAGTCGGAGCCATTCATTGGGTACAGCCTTAGTTGTGCATAAGGGGCAACATATGGCCGCCTAGAAGTTAAAAGGCATCCGCTTTCTCTGGTGGCTGTGTGAACTAAGAATGCCGGGAGTTGCAGTCCAGCAACTTCTGGAGAGCCATGCATTGCACGTCCCATCGTAGACTGTTTCTCTGTCCTAATTAATATCCCTTTGACAGGCTGCAGCCTCACTCCTGATACTGCTGTGCACAGCAGTCCACACTCTCATTCCCCTCTGTTGCTCTTGTTCAAAAGTCTGGACAGGGTCCTTTTTTCTGTCTGTCTGTTTGTTTGTTTTAGTACAGATCCCAGAATGTCCCAGCCAGCATGGCCACTGGGCATGCACTGTAGAACAAAAACAGAAAAGTAAACCAGCTGCTCTGCCTACCTTGCTTTTTGCTGTGCCATGTTTGCCTAGATGGCTCAGTGGACCTTCTGTGTTCTTGCTCTCTTCAGGGCGGGCTTTACGAGGCTGTCAATGAGGTTTACAAGATCCTCATTCCCATCCACGAAGCCAACCGCGACTTCAAGAAGTTGGCAGTGCTGCACGGCAAACTGCAAGATGCCTTCAGCAAGATAACCAACCAGGTGAGAGCAAGTCTCCCAGAGTTTGTTGCCAGGCTCATTTTGGGGAGACCGGCTTAGAAAGTTAGAAAGAAACTCCTCTTCCTGCATGCTGGCCCTTCCATTTCTGCCTTCCATTTCACTGTCCATGTCAGAGGTCGATCTTGGGGACTGGAAATGGTTGCAACTGAGATAATGCCTTCTCTGTGTCGGGGCCAGAGAATGTTCTCTTGGGAAGCTTTTAAACTGGGTCTCGGATTCTGGCATGGAGTTCCTTTTTCACACCTGCTCTTACAGCCAGTGTCTACCTTTGCTAGAAGGGAAGAGGTGGTACTCCAGTGTCCTCCAACCCCTTCTTGCCCACCTACATGCATTTTAAAGATCCAGCATGTTTAACATTCAGATCATGCTAGTGATCAACTTGTGGCAACAAGGTGCCAAATTGCAAATAAATTAACCACTGTCTTCCTGTTTTCTCTATTTCTCTCTTGTCCCCTCTGCTCTGTCAATCAGGCCTCTGGTTGGGAGGTAGGCTACCACATGTCTTGCTTTCTCTGTGTTGGTGTGTGTGTGTGTGTGTGCATGTCTGCGTGAGCGTGCATGCTGCCTTGGTTCCTAGTAATTGCCACCCAGTTGTGTGCTCCTCGCAACACCTCCCACTTCTACCTGGCCTTTCCAGTGCAGTTGCATAGCACCAGGATGGAGTCCCAGATCTTTTCTCTACACACCGAGCAAGCTGTATGGCTGCCTGCCTGCCTTGAGATGGCATTGATCCACAGAGGCAAATAAAAACAGAACAGACAAAATGGTTCCCTGGATCTCAGTTCCATCTTTGCACCATTGGCACATCTGCACATGTTTGCATAAAAATATATCTCTGTAAATGATTTAGAGGCACTTGATTTTGAGTGCTGATGGAGGGCCTGGATATAGGAACCTTTGTGTAATAAAATATTTTTTTATTTGGGATAAAATTGTTTTTCAGAAAAATACTATTTTCAGGTAGCCATGTAAGTATACAAGAATATCATCGACAAAAGTTGAGTCTCTGAGAAACCATTGACCACCTGTGTGGGCAAGAGAGCTCTAGAGAGCCCTGGAGAATGATCATGAAAGCTTTCCCCACACCTCTGGAGCTCTTTCCACTTAATGTCTGTGGCGCAGGCTTCGGCTGAGTAGTTTATTTAGCGCACGAGGCCACATGGCAGCAGTAGGGTCGTATCTACACCAATCAGTTGCGAGACTGTTCTTGTCAGGAATCCTTTCTTGTGTTTGAAGCGTGCCTGCATGGTGGTTCCCTCTTACGACTACACCAGCTCAGAATGAAGCACGGGGCCAGATTTCTTACTTTCCCCCCTCCCACATACCACCTTTACAATGGGGGGAGGAGCACCCACTGATATAGGTTGAACAGTCTGCAGCCCCTCTGTGCTTGGGCCCAAGAGCCCTCTGGCTCCATCCTGTACAGCAGTGGTCTCCAACCTTGGGCCTCCAGAGGTTCTTGGACTTCAACTCCCAGAAATCTTGGCCAGCAGAGGTGGTGAATGCTTCTGGGAGTGGTAGTCCAAGAACATCTGGAGGCCCAAGGTTGGGGACCACTGCTGTACAGGTACAGGTTGAGCATCTTCCGAAAAGCTCATGTTTATGTGCGCCTTGACCTCCCACTTCCTGGAAGTGTTCCCATGGAAACAGCACAACACAGGTCTGTACCTGGGGGTGGGGGGGTGCCTTTTTCCCCTGCCTGGGGACGGTGAGTAGAAGTGCCGTTCCTTACGCCTGGTGGATGAGGGAGGAAGCACCCGCTCCCAGAGCCCACCCTTCTCTTGCTTTTCTTGAGTGTAGCCGTTGCGTTAAGCTTCTCTGGGATGGCTTTGTCCACTGCTGAGGCCTCGGGCGGTGGTGGGTGAAGTTGAGAGAGTGGGGCTCTCCCACAGCCTGTCATGGCGTGTTAAAGGGGAACAGTCCTGGATGGCTTCTTTCTGTCCTGCTGGCTCCCCAGCCACCGTTAAATCAGTACCACCCCGTGTCCAAAATGGCTGCAGCTGAGGTTCATACCTGCCAGTGAGCCCTGCTCTCTTCTTCCAGAAGCTTCTCCCTTCTGTCCTAGATGCCTTGGAGCTGGCTGTGGTCACTCTGGAAGTGGCATTCTGTGCATGTTCAGAGACACTCGTTTTAGAGCCTCAAGTGAATGCTTCAGCTCTCCTGTACCCCAGACCAGGGAATAGGGATTACGCCAAGGCAATAGTTGATGCTCTTTTTTTTAATTTTTGAATTCCTTAATCAACCAGGTGAGTTGATAGTATGCAGTCCACTCTGTCCTCTCAATGACACCAGCAGCCATTTTGTAGCTGTACCCATGATAACGTTTTTAAAATGTCAAACACCCTTGCTAAAACAGGACTCCTGAGCTAAAGCTGGTATGCCATCTGTTGGGATGGCAGAGGAAGGGGATAGTCAGCTTTAACCCAGGTGGAACAGTTCCCACTCGATGAAACGCATCTTGCATGTCAGCATGCATCTCCCGAGGCTTGTGTGTACAACTTAGCTTCGATAGGCAACCAGAAGTAAAATATTTTGGTTCTGTGCAGCACCAGGTTGCACTATTTCCTTTCAGCTAGGAGCAAAATAGTCGTGACTTCACAGTTCACACAGCCACATGCACCTAACCAATCACCTTGGCTACGTCTTGTCTCGGTTGAAATCAATCCATGCACTGGGGATCAGCGGCAGTGACTGAAATTCCTGGTGTGGGCCAGTTGCTAGCCGCAGCCTACGTTTTGCAAATCTTGTTCAATAGGTTTGCATCCTCCCTTCACTGTTTTCCCGTGTTGGTTCGAGGATCTAGAACTCTGATGTTGATAAGCAGGCCTCCTCAAGTCTCAGAAGATCACTTTAAATATTTATTCTTCACTCGGTAACCTACCCCCCAGCTGCTAAAATACTTTAACCACATTGTAAGACACTTGCAAGAGTTCCATCTGGTTTAAAGATTGCTGCTGCACCTCTGTATGTTTATTCGTAGAGAAATGTGCACAGACCTTGAGTTCTGTGCATGCAGAGAGTGCCAAGCTTCCCCCGCCCCCTTTTTCTCGTTGAGTGTCTCTGTTCAACCAAGAAAAATAGAGAGGTATTCTCTTTGGAGCAATATTTTGAATAGGGGAGTTGTTGGAATCATAGCTTTCACACTTGGAGCGAGTCCAAACAATAAAGGTCAAGAGTGCACACCATGCATCACTTCCTGCTTAACCGCGGTGTTAACTTTCCGCTTTACCTATTCCTGAAGTGAGTGTTGCCATTGGAAAAAAAAAAGGTTATGAGGTGAAACCTCACGAGCCATCACTCAGATTGAGCTCCAAGTGCTTGCCTGCTGTTAGGAAAGCACTGCCTTGCTGGGTAACTGGGAGTCTGTCAGGCTGTGTCCTTCCTTGTCCCTCAAGGAGGCCTTGCCTTTCTCTCCACCTCTTCATTAACTCTCTTCAAGATACTTCCCTTGCTAGCCCATGGGCTGCAGACTGTCGACAGCCCATCTTGCGTGCCTGGTGGACGGATTCCCTTACAGAGCCTTCCACTGAGAAACATGTTTTTTCAGGCTTATGCAGATTGCAGACTCTACACTTTTAAAATCTTCCCAAGAGCTGCTTCTTGGAAAATTCCTTTTTTTTCCAGCATGTGCAAAAAAAAAATGCCTCTTGCCATGTGGGAATGTTGAGATTGCACAGAGTGGAGATGAATTTAGCTTGTGTGTCCAAGGTTAGTGTGACCGATCTAATTCCTGTGCCTTGTCATGTTCCTTAATACATCTCATCATCATTTATTATGCTATAAGGGGCTGACCACTATACGGAGTAGAGATTTTTTCATGCATCCGTTTCCAAAACACACTGGTAAGGAACCCTAACATCCGAAGTGGGTTTCAAAGGAAGACACCCACTCTGGATCCCTTTCCTGTCTTCTTTCCACTTGGATGCTGTCTTTTCTTGGCAAGGAACTGGGGATTGAAGAACGGCCTCTCTGAATAGCTCACGTCACACTCTTGATGATCACATAGACGCTGGGCCTCATTCTGGTTCTGTGGGGCTGCACAGTGTGCTTCATTAATGCAGCTTTTTTCCCTTTGCCCCCTCGCAGCTTGATAGGGAGGAATTCAGAAGATGCTTCCCAGCCCAGATACCCATACACTGTACCGGCGGGGGGGGGGAGTTGTTTGTAGGGATGTTAATGCATGGAAGAATTGAGGAGCGGAGAGTGTTGAAGCTCAGGTGGGATGTGGCAGCTAGAGAGTGGTTTTTGGATTGTTCAGCCAGCCTTGGTGTTTTTTGTTTGCTTGTTTGTTTGTTTCTAATTACCTTGTGCTTTTGGAGTGGTGGGGGTGAAATAATTGGTTATTCCTTGCATTCCTGCCTCTGTCTTGAAAGCTTAAGGTGGGCATCACCATATCTCAGGGTGACTGAAATAGCCCTGCAATAAATATTCCCAGTCCAGTCATGCAAAGCATGTTCCAGCTAAGAGCCTGGTTAGTTTGCAGAGTAGGGAAGTTCCAGTGCCTGCCAAGCAACTCCTAAAAGGCTGACACAACGGAGGAGGCCCTTCGCTTTAAGTGCACTTGTTTCTGCAAGACAGCATGCATGAGGTCCCTCTTAAAATTGTTTTGGCATTAGCCCTGATTTTTAAAAAAAATAATGATGATGATGCCTTGTGAATTAGAACAGTGTTGTCGGAGAAATTAGGAACTTTGTTGAGAAACAAAGTGTTTTGCTTATCCTCNCCCCCAACTTCGGGTGTTTTGTAAATAATGTTTGGACTGGTGGAGAAAGCTATGAAGCTGATTTGACCAAAAAACAAAGGAGATCGGGGTGGTGGAAGAGCTTGTGTGCAGCAGGCAGTAGTAACTCTACAATAAACCCAGTGATTCTCGGAGACTGTACCGAGCCTTTGTGACAGCAGTTCTTTTTGTAGGGCAAGAGTTGGTTTCAGTGATGTCTAGGGCTTTGAGAGAGAGTGTGCCCCCGTCTGCAAATGCAGTATGCAGATGTTAGCTGCTATCTTCCAGTCTTCATTGCATTCTTCTTAATGTCTCTTTCTTCTTTTGCTTCCCCTTCAACATATCAATCCTGTTGCCTTCTCTCGTCCCTGCCCTGGTTTTGGTAAGTTGGAGCATACCTCTTGAAATATTTCAGTGGGGGCATTCAAGTGGCTCCTTCATATGCATTAAGGGGTACGGCTAGTTTCACCACAAAGGAGAAACTGGTAGGAGAGATGGTAGAATTGTAGGGCTTAGGGAAGCTAATGGTTCCAGATGTCCAGATCTCTGTTAGGATAGGACTGAACAAGGCCTGGGAGTCCAGGGGGCATTTCAAAATGAAACCAGAAGTTACCCACAGAACACAATGGGTTTAATAGTTAGATGGAAAAAAATCCTGATGAAATAAAAATCCTACCAATTTCCGGGAGGGACTAAAAATGTGTTTTTTTGTGATTATCTCCTTCCTTTCTTTCTTTCACCATCTCTGGGTATCACAAAATTGGCCTTTGGGGTTCACTAGCTGCCTTACTTATATTTCTGAGTCAAGGGCACAGATAAAGAGTTTGTGAAAGCAGCAAAGTACCTTCAGGATACAGCAGTGTTTGCAGACATTTGCCATAGACCTCATGAAAATGGAAATAAGGATCCAGGCCTTCTTGCTTTCAAGCACTAGATTCACTTGTTAAATTACAGTAGGACCCCCCCCCCCAATATCTGCTGGGGATTGGTTCCAAAGAAGGTCTGGGTTTGTCACAATTGGTTCCAAAGACTCCTGTGGATACTGAAAACCGTGGATAACAGTGAACTCTCTCGATAGATAAAAGAGGAAAAAAGGTAAAAATTCCCATGCATTACCAGAACTGGCTACTAGAGGGCACCAGTGAATATGCCATGTATTTGCCACTAACAAGTATTCGTAACATGGTCTATGGCTCCTTCTTGTGGCTGGTTCTGGTAATACATATGAAAATTAGTTTTTTTCTGGATTTTTTTCTTGTATTGTTTTTAATACTTTCAGAGAGTGGATAAGTGAAATTATGGATACTGATCCCGTAGATATGGGGGTCCTACTGTATATCTAGATACAGAAATCTCTTATGAAAGAAGTGCTGAGTGTGGGCTGTGCTATTACTGCACTTTACAGGCAACGTTATTTAAGTTCCCAGCCCCACAGTTCTCCTGGTATCTCTCTTTAGGTCAACCAGAGAATGTTCGGAACATATTTCCGGGTTGGTTTTTATGGCAGCAAGTTTGGGGACTTGGATGAGCAAGAGTTTGTTTACAAGGAACCTTCTATCACCAAATTGGCTGAGATCTCTCACCGCCTTGAGGTAAGAACTGAAGTGAACTTGGAGGAGGCATGGTTCAAGCAGTAAGGTTAACGAGTGAATGTGGAAGAGAGATCATGCCGAGGCAGAGAAGATGCAGAAGAGGAGCACACCGACACAGAGGTTAATGAGTTGGTGTATTTACATGTATTTATTGTTTGTACACTTGGTGTATATATGCTGAAAAGACATACTGGCTTTCAAGCGTATATGCTGGTCAGACGAGGTTGCTCTACATGCAGATTACCAGCTTTTTAGAAACCCTTGTTGATTTGCCTGGTGTTTTACAAAATGAGAAATGACGTGAAGATTCTCTGTTCAGAGGAGCTGATGTCCAAAATGGCTGTGCGAGGGGGGGGGAGTATAGGACAGAGGTGGGCAGCCTTGATGGGGCCAGGGGCAGTTTTTCCCCACACATCTGGTCCTGCAAAATTCCCCCAAGACAAGAGCTGCCATCTGAGAGGCTCCTTGGGACCTGGAATGGAAGATCACAAAAATGGTGGTGGGGCTGATTGCACCTTGAAGTCCTTCCGTGAAGGCATTCAAGGAAGGAAGAGGCATTCAGCTCAACCGTATGCACTCTGTTCTCCTTCTGTGTAAGAGTTTCAGCAAATGCGAAAGAGTCTGTGCTTAGCTGGCACAATATTTTCTCTTTCTAGGCAGCTCATCTTTTTTTATCATGTACTAGTTAGCGTAGCTGAAACAGTGTCAAAAGACTCTTGTGACTTATAACAGGCAGCTCTTCCTCCCCTCATCTCCTCCCCCTCTATAAACTGGCCAGCTCCCACCCCACCCCACCCTTCACCACCACGATCTCTCTGGGTTCCCCCAGCCATATTCCAGATTGCTCAGCAAGGTGGTGGTGGGGTCGCTCTCTGTGTCAAGACTGCCTGTTGGAATCCCCTTCCACTGTAAGAACAAGGTCTATGATTTACTCTCTCCAGAAAGGTCTTCACTTCCTTTCTCTCTCCATGACAGCCTCAGCATTTGGCACCGGTGTTGCCCAGCTGCAGCCGAGGCATGGCCAAATAGGGCTGCAGAGTGTAGAGGCAGTGGCCCTGGGGCCAGCTTGGCTAGTAGATGTTGCCCATGTGCATGAGGGAGGAGGCTGTGCTGTGGCCGGTCCCCCATCTCTGCGCTGCTCCCGTTCTGTGCCCGTCCGGTTTTCCCACCAGACATGTTTGTGTAATTAAAAACATACTTGCCCATTCAGTTAAAAGATGGGGGTGGGGGACAGGCTCATTTTACATTGTAGTAAGCGCGGGGGAGGGGGGAGAAGGTCAACAAAGCCCACCTGCCTTTCTACCCACACTAAAGATTTTGAGCCACTTTCCCTCAGCTGAGCTCATTTCCAGTACTTCAGCTGAGCTAAAGAAATTATTTAAAGCAACTGAGTAGGGGAGAGAGTGGGCTTTGCTTCTCTCCTCCACATGCTCATTTTAATATAACATTTGGACCCTGTGCTTTCTTGGTAGCCAACCAGGTAAGTACTTATTTATAATAGTACTTATTTATAATATTTATAATAATGCTAATGGAGATTAGCATTTAAAAGAGCATCTCTGTCTTTTTTTCCCCCTCACCACCACCCTCCCCTTTGCAGGAGTTCTATGCTGAGCGTTTTGGGCATGAAATGGTAGAAATCATCAAGGGTTCCAACCCTGTAGACAAAGCAAAGCTGGATCCTAACAAGGTAGTTTCTCTCATGCGTTTGAGCCTTTTGCTGGCCTCTGCAAAGACACTGAAGCCCTAACCTGGGATACTTGTTGGGTTGGAATATCCGAGGAACTTTCACCCTGAGTGGTTTGGATTGTGTTGCACATTCAGCAGGCATGACCTGAGAAGCTCTTGGAGGAGAGATCCCTGAAGATCTCCCATAGGGTATTGTAGATGAGCGCTGAATTCCTGCATTTCTCCTTCCTCGTCCTGTACGGAGAGTGGAAATGACTTACAGACTCTTGTTAGTACTAGAGCCCGTAGATGGCTGCAACTGCAGCTGCATATTCTGAAAAGTAGCAAGAGGGCAATGGCTGAGCTTTCTTCCTCTTCCTTCAGGCTTCTTAGACAATAGAGAACTTCTCTTAATGTAGGTTTGATGGGAGATGCTCTTTCCCACAGTCAGTTGGCCCAGTGTTTTGATGGTTCAGAAAGAGAATCTGAGCACAGGGTAACTACACCCCAGGGCGGGGGGGAGATGGACGGAGAATGTTGCTGCCCGTGCTTTCCTTCTCTTTTCTTCCCTGCTTACAGGCGTACATCCAGTTGACTTACGTGGAACCATTTTTTGACACGTATGAGCTGAAGGATCGTGTCACCTATTTTGACAAGAACTATAACCTCCGCACCTTCATGTTTTGTACGCCATTCACACTGGACGGACGAGCGCATGGTGATCTGCATGAGCAGTACAAGCGCAAGTCACTGCTCACCACTTCCCATGCTTTCCCCTACATCAAGACCCGCATCAATGTCATTCACAAGGAGGAGGTGCCTGTGGGGATGGTGGAGGGAGAGATTTAGAGGCATGCAAAGAGGTTGGGAGGGAGGCCAGTGCGCAGGCACAGTCCCCTCTGAAGAATGGGAGGAGGGACTACAGGTGCTGCTTCATACTGCAAATTCTGCTTCCTGAAAATATTATTTTCATCTTCCTTTAAATATTTTTGTTGATAAAGTCTGTTTTTAGCCCCACTGACTCTAAAATTCTTGAAAGTCTCTAAGCAATGCATGTTGGACTCTAAAAGCCAAGAGAATAGCTGGGTCGTATTTGAATTAGCCAGGGGGTAGAATTTGGGTGGGGAGGGGTGCGGATTTAGTGTCCTACAGAATTCCTTCATCTTTTTCCACACGATCAGCAAAAGCAGGATGAATTATAGGAAACAGTAAACATTGCAGAACAGGTTATGAGAGAGAAGCTATGCAGAATTCTTGAGTTTCCATAACATATAAACGTCACAGAATTTAGCTTTTCTTGATCAAAAATTTGGCGTGGTCCTAATTTATTATTATTATTATTTGAAGAAACCAAGTGCATATTCTTAGGTGCACTTCTGCTTATGTTTCTGTTGTTTGGCTTGTTGTCCCCAGATCATTCTCATTCCAATTGAGGTTGCCATCGAGGACATGCAGAAGAAGACTCAAGAGTTGGCTTTTGCCACACACCAGGATCCAGCTGATGCCAAGATGCTACAGATGGTGTTGCAGGGTTGTGTTGGCACCATAGTCAACCAGGTACCTATAGCGAAAAGTATTTTACTGAGTTAAGAAGTAGGCTTAAAGCCAAGCTAGCAAACCCACTAGGGGCGTGAGATGTTGGAAAATCTAGGAGTTGTTCGGGTCTAGTCCTTAGAGAGGGAATGCACAAAGTCAGATTATAATGAAGAGCAAGAGGTAGAAGCATGACACTTGGTTAAAGTGTCTTTGCACCTTCACAGTGTTTAAGACGGAGCGATTGGGTTGTGTGCAAGCGTTGAACCTAGTTAGAGCCTTCCTTCCTCCTCATGATCCCATGGCTTGTTGTGTTCCAGGGCCCTCTGGAAGTAGCACAGGTGTTTCTGGCTGAGATCCCAGATGACCCCAAGCTGTATCGGCACCATAATAAACTGCGGCTCTGCTTCAAGGACTTCACCAAGAGGTACTGCACAGGTTCAGCAGCAAGCACCAAAACACAGGACCAATAGATTAATCTCAAGCATCTAGCCATGTTCTGTGGTTGGCTTGCAACCATAAACATTAAAAACAGTTATTTTTAATAAATATTTTTTAAGAGTGTACAAATTCTAACACAAACATTTAGGATACTGCTTTTAGCAGAGGACATTGGAACAGTTGTGTCACAAAAATATCCTCCAGGTCCAAAATCTAATGATTCAGAAGTTTAGTAGAATCAGAAGTGTGGAGAAAAATTACATGATATATGTGTGTCGCTGAAGAGACCACAAAAAAAAGTCATCGGACAGCTTTTGGCTTTTCCCCTGGCACGACACATATGCCTCCCCAAAACAGGAATTCTGTATTGAAAAGAGCCTCTGGTCTTAAGATCCAGGTAGGTGTGTGTGGTATGGATTCTTCAGGAACTTGAAGTCCATGACCAACACTTTGAATTGATTCCCCAAACAGACCAGAGGCTAATGGTTCGTTTCTTGTAGACTGGGTCCTCTGTGGGGAGGAAAGTGGCATATTAAATAAATTTAGTAAGTAAGTAGATGATACAGCTAAAATCAACCAAAACTCCTCTTTCTTTTAATAGTTTTACTAGACTAACCTGGACTAAATGAAGTTTTGGGGCAGTTGTCAATGGCAGCCAGATGTGCAGCACATATGATAATATATGAATATGCTTGCTTATTTTTTGTTGCTTTCATTGATTTAAATTGGTTTATGAAGGATACGGTTTACAAGTTTAATAATAAATAAAATAGTTTCCCTAAAGCAGTGCTGAGCATCTTTGAAGGTCTAGGACCCACATTTCCATACCCCTAGACCTACTACAGGCCACCCACCCCAACTTATATTTTCAAAAGCATGTTTTTTTCTTTTCCTGTTTCTTTTCAGTAACAGAATCTGGTGCAATTTGGTTTAAAGGGAAACACACTTCTAAGAGCAAAATTTGCGATATTTTCAAATACCCACCTCCCATGGGAGCTCTAGAGGCCACAAGAATGATCAGTGTGGCCTTCAGATTGTTTGCTGTTGTCCCACGTCTGCCTGGTTGTTTGACAGTCGTTCACACCAGTCCACTTGCCCTGTGCGCGGTGTTCTGTCCCCTGAAACTAGAAAGAACATCACTGTGAGGAAGGCAGAGAGGCTCAGATAGCTGCATACCCCTCCCCAAAGATGGTTTAGAATATCTGTAAATGTCACTGAGCCAAAAGCCTGCTGGATCAAGGCTAAAAGTCGCATTAGATACTCTCCCCATCCCTTCTTGTAGAGGAAGGCTGTCTCCTTTGCGAGAAGAACCGAGTTGCTTCCACTGGTGTCCAGCAGCCCCAGCCCCAAGGTGAAGAGATGCAGAGGAGCGGGACAAGAAATGGCCTCTGCTTCTGGGTAGAACAGAGGGGCACCTCACGGTGGGGAGGCTATAAAGATGGCGACTCTAGAGATGGGTATAGACTGTTATATTAAAAAAAGGCACTTTGGTTGCGATTCCCTTTGTTGTGGAAATGCATCGGTCATGACGGCATCCCTGTTATTCCTAATTCTGCTAAAGGAAGCCTTTCCCCTTTTTTTTCCTTCTGTGTTCCTCTTTGGAGAAATGGTGGTTGAGGGCATGTGAGGCCTTTTTATTTTAAAAGGTACACGTTATCACTACAAAGCAAAAAGTAGACAGACTAGCAACATTTTGACTACATTGGCGGTCTGTACAAAGAGGTAAATAAATAAATAAATAAATAACTTTTTGACTACATTGGCCGTCTGTACAAAGAGAGAGAAAACCAACATGAATCTGACCAGATTCCGGGAAGCAGTGGAAGACAGGAGGGCCTGGCACACTCTGGTCCATGGGGTCTTGAAGAGTCGGACACGACTAAACAACAACAACAAGGTTTCAGTACAGATAAACAAGCCTGTAAGGACCGTTTGATCAACCCCTGAAAACTCATCTTTTTAGCCCATGTTCCTTACCCTGGACACAAAATAGCTAAAAAAATCTCTGCTTCCATTGGGGGGGGGCGATGCTGCAGGCAGAGAAAGCCTGGGTGTTCATGGGGCCTCCCTGCTGCAGCTGCTGTTTTTGTGTGCCACCTCCTCGATCTCCACGTGGGATGAGACAGCAGTGCAAAAATGTCCAATGATCTGTATGTGAAAAAATCTTAACTGGATGCCGGAATAACTGTGAAAATTGAGGATTGACTCCCGCCTCCTGCAAGAGCAGCCCAACAGTGGCTAATGCGAATTCCAGTTGGGACAGCTGGTATAGCATAGTAGCCAAGAGATTAGGCTATGAATCAGAGAGAGGGGGAGAAAAATTGCTCAAAGCTCGTATTTGTTTGGTTTGTCTCTCTTTGTTGTTAGATTTAGGTTTATTCCCTGCTGAAGGGCTCCCACAGCAGCTAAGACAGCTGTAAAATGCAGTAGTCTGGAGGGCTGGGAGCCATCAATATTAGAATCGGTCAGTCCAATCATTAAAACCACTACAGATCACCAATATGAAAAGTTGCCAGCATAGAAGGCAAAAGGCTGACAGACGTAGTAAGGGTGTTTTAGAAGGGCAGCACCCCAGAGCCTTGCCTGACCAAAGTTCAAAAGCCTTCTGAGAAGTTTTGGGATTGTTTATAAAGATGATATTTAGTTATTTAAAAAAAAAAAGAAAGAAACTAAAAGGTGAAAATACAGTGCTGCCCCGCATAGTGACGATAATCCGTTCCAAAAAAAATTGTCGCTATACGGATTCGTCGCTATGTGGGGCAAAAAAGCCCATAGGAACACATTGAAACCCCTTCAATGCGTTCCCATAGGCAAAAAACTCACCGTTCTGCGGAAATCCTCCATGCAGCCACCATTTTCGCTGCCCGGTAAGCGAGGAAAGGGCGCGAAAACACTGCAGGCGGCCATTTTTTTCCCCGGCGGCCGTTTTGGAACCGCCGATCAACTGTTTTTAAAACATCGTTATGCGATAATCGGTAATCAAAATGCTTACCATCACAAAGCGATGTTTTCCCATTGAGAACATCGTTAGGCGATTGCTTTTGCAATCGCAAAAACCTCATCGCTATGCGGGTTTGCCGTTAAACGAATCACTCGTTATGCGGGGCACCTCTGTAAATTTCAAGAAGGTGGTGCTTTCAAAGAATACTCCCTAATTTTTTTAAAGATGTAAAATTACATTCTGGATCGCAATGTAACAGTTTAGATAATTCCATTAATAGCTGTTCTTCACTGTATGCTCAGAGGTAAATCTCCTGGAGTTCAATTCCATTTTGTCCCAGGTAAATACCAAGACTGAGAATAATTGGAGGAGGATGAATGGTCTCTGGACTGCTAAAAAGTGCAGAGAGAGGGGGGGAGAAACAGGCATTCTCCCCAATGACCTCATTTTGACACCTCGCTGTGATTCCTGTCAAGCATGGATCGGATGGCGATTCTGGATTGTGGCGCTTTTAAAGGAGCATGTGGTCTCTGCTCAGCGATAGAAGAGGAGAGGAAGAATGCCTCCAAGTCTGCCTTTAGCAGGGGCTCCAAGTCTCATCCGTGTTGCCTCTACTTTTCAGGTGTGAAGACGCCCTTCGCAAGAGCAAGACGCTGATTCTGCCAGACCAGCGCGAATTCCTCCGGGAGCTGGAGAGGAACTACCAGCGCCTAAAGGAAGCCCTGAACCCCCTTCTCAACCGCAAAATCCCTCAGCTCTACAACCCCGTTGCCCCGCATTCTGCGCACAGGTGAGGCTGCGTGGCGTGGGCGGTATATAGGGTTGGATTAATAAAAGAGCAACAGTGTGCAAGGTCACACTTCAGGAAGGGCTTTGTATACGAAATGACATCAGTTTAATTTCTTGTGCATTAGCAAAAAGGCATGTGTTTAATCACATTTTATCAAATGAGCAAAAACTGCATCCTCTCCTGTGCCTAATTGCTGTCTCTACTTCCCATATATCCTATTAAAAAGCCACCTAGTGGTACCGAAAGTGTCCATTCTATTTGTCTTACTCGCTGAATTCATTTTTCTGACAGACCACTGTCTCTTGCTTTTTTATGCTACCTTTCAGTCGTCGTTTCTTGAAACTGATTTTTTGAAATGCCTTCCTTTCACTGTCCAGCTACCTCTGTTCCTGATATTATCAGATATTTCTCTATTTGAATTTGATTGAGTATAAAGCATTAACAGATAGATGTATTCGTGAAGACTTTCATGGCCGGGATCTAATGGTTGTTGTGGGTTTTTCGGGCTCTTTGGCCATGTTCTGAAGGTTGTTCTTCCTGACGTTTCGCCAGTCTCTGTGGCCGGCATCTTCAGAGGACAGGAGTAGGATCTCTGTCCAGAGTTCCTACTCTTGTTCTCTGAAGATGCCGGCCACAGAGACTGATGAAACATCAGGAAGGACAACCTTCAGAATACGGCCAAAGAGCCCAAAAAACCCACAGCATTAACAGAGAGACTTCTGAATTTCTGCCTGGATATGCTGTCAGAAATTACTCACCAAAGGGCATAGACATCAGGTAAAGAAGAACAATCCAACTTGCCCACAGCTCCTCCCGCATTCTACTCAAACAGGAATATGCAGTGGGTTCCAACTTACTGCAAGTGAACTCTGCAAGTAGCCGCCTAGAGTGGTCCTTTCGGACCAGATAGGCGGGGTATAAATCAAATCAAATCAAATCAAATCAAATCAAATCACATAAATAAATAAATAAATAAATAAATAAATAAATAACTCCCATCTGACTATTAGCTTTATAGCGATTTTTCTCATGCCTGCTGCTGCTGACCTGCTTGGTTTCTTATGCTAGAAGCCTGGAGTATCCCATGGACTGTTGTGCCATAGAGTGGTGCTTTTCGTTTGTTGTTACATACTGGCAAGCCACCTCCTGCTTATGGTAACCCTATGAATGAGTGACCTCCAGAATTTTATGCCCTCTTTTGGAAATGTCTTAAATCTCTTTTATGAGGGCAGCTGGCTTTGTAGGCTCTGCTTGTGGTTTTATTGGTATGGTTTTCTGGTTAATAGATTCAAACTGTTACGTGTTTGCATTTGCTGCTCTGACTATCACTCCCTCCCATAAAGAAATTCCTTTCTAAGGCCTGTTAGAATTCAACATCACCATATGAATATGTTCAGAAGCCAGTTCAGAATCAATTAATCTGCCAGTCTTGTATTTATATGTCTTTCCAGAAATTCCTTCAACAGATTGAGTCTGCGGAAGATGGAAGCCTAGCAAGTCTCCCTCCCATGGACAGAAGTGGACCGGCTGAACTACAGGCTCCTTGCTGTTGCAAGAAGCAGCTGCTGATCCTGAAATCTGACCTCCGGCTCAGCCCTACTGGGAACACGTTGCTTGCTGTGCACCAGGAGATCGCCCTGAGATTTAGAGTCCCCTTCCTGTGTCGTTCCAGGCTCTCTCCAGGAGGAGAGGCCAGCCGGTCGGTCACGCTGCCAGGGAGAAGGAACACCTGTGGAAGAGGGTGCTGGGAAGGTTAAGAACGGTGCTCCACCCCAAGGAACCTTATCGCCATGTAGCCTTCCACATAGACTTTCTAAGGTGAAGACCTTCTGCAGACCTTCTTCCCTACTGAAGTGAGGATTTATTCTACACACATGGGCTTCAGAGCTTCCACAGGAAACAGCTAGACCCAGAGACATTGGGTGTGCTTGCAGATGAAGGCTAAGCCCCCATGGATTCTGTGTCCTTCCCTCCACCCCCTTGATGGCTGGGTTCAGCCTAAGGACTTCGGCTCTTCCTTGCGTTTCTCTTGCTCCTACTCTTTTGCCCCCTTTCTCCTGCTTTTACTGTTCCTTTTGGTTGCCAGCCATTTGGAAGTTATTCATGGATCCGCAAGAACAAACTAGTCCATGTTTTGAAACTTATTCCTGACTCAGGGAAGAAGGCAAGCATATCCGGGAGTGAGTTAGAGCAGAGGTCCACAACCCCTGGTCTGCGGCCCAGTGCTGGTCCATGGCCTGAGCCGGACCGGGCCGCAAAGACAGACCTCCTGCCCCTCCGCACGTACTCACCTCCGCACAGCTGCTTTGTGCCTGCGCGCATCAGCGCCTCCACGACCACTCCCCCACCTCTTTGTCCATGCGCACGAGAGAGCGCCTGCCCCAAGCGCCACACCACCATATGCGCATGAGCGAGTGAGTGCCGCCAAGAATGCTGTGCCCGCCCCCACATGAGCACCCTCCTGCTCCTGTGTGCACATGCATGAGAGAGTGCTCCTCACACATGCACACACACGCAGGCGGTGCCCCACCTTCCCCAGCCAGTCCGTGGGGTTAAAAAGGTTGGGGACCCCTGAGTTAGAGGACTGAGACCTGGGAGATCCGTTCCTTGTCTTTGGGAAGTGGGCATATCTTTCTGTGAGGAGGTTGGTCTGCCTGCCCATAGCTTGGGCTGAGCCCCAGACATTCCAGCTGTGCCCTTCCCTCCACTTCTTTCTCAGGGGATCTTGACCATCGATTTTCTGTAGCTGTTTCCCAGCTGATGGCCTCCTGTCACCTGCCTCCCAGGATCTTCCCCTTCTGTCTTTTGCAGCACGGACCAAAGAGCCTTTTCTATTCCACACACCTCTCGCTACATCCTGTTCAAGGCAGAGCTAGAGCCCACACACGCTCACACCACAGCAGTGCCTTCTAGAGCAGAGTGAGTTTGGAGTGCAGAGGAGGGAGGGTGGTTCTGGTTCACCTCCCTTCCTCCACATCCCAGGGGGAGGCTGGGTGTGCACTTGTTTCTTAAAGAGATGAGTGTATCAATATTGCTTTCCTCATCTTAGTGCCTCTCGCCCACCTTCCCAAGCAAGGAGCGAAAGGAACCTTTCCTCTGCAGACTAGAGTTGCATCTAAGTTGGCTGTTATGCTGTAAGACGGAGGACATTCCTCTTTCAGGGAGTCCCCTTCCCACAGAGGTAGAGTGGAGGGGTTTTTTTTGGGGGGGGATGGGTGCATCCCATTCCTTTGAGAATTGGGGGGGGGCTTTGATGTTTTTTCTAGCAGAGAGGATAAATCCAGATTTACTTGAATATGATGGTGAATATTTCATCTAAATAGATAGGAGTGACCCACACTGGATGGACTCCCTTAATTTGCACTAAATGTGTTTAGCCATGCTGACTTTAACATCCAGCTAAACCAAACTGCACTAAAGCAGGTAAATGTGCATAGGCGTGCTTGAAGCTATATCAAATTCATGCTGTTCCATTGTCCAGGGATTTGTTAGAGGTGATGGGCCATCGGCACAGGTGAGCTTCTGTCCTTCTCCCCTTGCATTACCAGCCTTTCTATGGTGCAGTTGGTCCTTAACAGTGGGAAACAAAAGGAGTTGAGCGCTAGGGCCCCTTCGTCTGCCTACAACCAAAGCTGCAGCTGTTTGGATCCTGATTGTACCTCTGCCCTGTTCCCCAAATCAGAGTTTCCCTTTTCCTGTCTTGCCCCAAGCCAGTTTTTCCTGCTGGGAATGCTACCTTTTTGCCATGGCCAGGCTTTTAGTGGACGGCCAAGCCTTGATTTCTGTTTGTCTTACTCCTTAGTGGAGGAAGATGTAAACGTTTTATTTATAATGTCATTTAAAACAAATGGGAAGAAACTCTCTAAGGTTGTGTGTGTGTGTGTGTTTTGTTCTTTTTTTTAATGAGTAATAAAATGGTCTTATTTGTTTGCCATTCAGATGCCATGGAGCCCACAGAAAACAAACTGTGGTGTTGCCATAAATTCCAAGAGGCAAGGCTTCAGTAAATCTTGAAAACCTTAGTTTTTGTTTTGGAACAGGCTAACTTTCTGATTCTCCTTGGTGGGAACAAAAGCTCAAGTATGTAGACAGATGTAATGAACTGCTGGAAATTACAGGGCGTGCTTGAGCTAATGGTTGTTCCCAGTCCTTGACATAGCAGTTTCTCTTTTCCTCATGACATACAAATGTTGTCACTCTGAAATCCTAATGGCTCCACAATTGAAGCATCTAATACAGTCTCCCAGCATCAGCCATCCTCTATTTTTATTACCGGCTGCCTTCTTTGTGCCAGTAGTTCAGAATCACCAGTGTTACCCTGTCAAGAACAACTGAACCTTCAGGCTGGAAGAGGACCACGAGGGGCCCTTTTGACACCAAAGGCGGGTTAAGGAATTCTAGGAAAGTGGTAATGAAGCAAGATGTTAAACAAGGAAGCCTTGTGCTATGCAAAGTCTTCCTGGTACCATCAGAGTAAGCACTCTCTGTTTTTCAGAAACAAAAACAGGAGAAGTGTGGACTAATCATGAAAGACTAGTATGCCTTCTGGTAAGTATTTGGTCACGAGTATTTGGGTAAGGAAGCTCAAGAGCCCAGCTCTCCACAAATGACAGATTGCTGCTAACCGAGGCTTCTGAACCTGGATAGGGTGGTTGTGCAAGGGTAGCCTTGATAAGCATATCTGGTAGAAGAACCATGCATGAAATCCCACAGGAGGAGGCAACTATTGGAGTGTCTTGATGACGGTGTCTTAATAGCAGCGCACACCCAGCAAACATTTAAAAAACGGGCAGTTTTATAACCGGAGCCGTCACCCAAACCTACCTGTCCATCATGGCCTCTGTACCCGCACTGGGCCTTCCGTGCCAACACAGCTGTCAAACCTAGAGGGGACCACTAAGTGCAGGCAGCTCTCTATATTCAGTGGGAAACTCCAGCCGATAAGATACTTAGTGTGTGTCTGAAGGTCTTGAGCCACAGGGAGAAAAGGATGGAGAATTGGTAAGATCACTGTTCTTTTCGAGATGGTGGTGGGAAAGAATTACAGGCACCCAGAGAGCGGATTCCCAGGTGTCAGGAATGTGGACAGGCACGTTCTGTGGGTATTGATATGGTGGTGGTTCAAAAGTTCCACTGGAGACCATGGTGTGTGATTCAGAAGGAAAGCTTTCATATCTGGGGAAAGCAGTCTCAAGTGATGTAGGAGTTAATCTATGTTGCTGGCCCAGAACAGTTGAAGGGAACCCTGTGACTTGAGATGTTTACAGCAACGCGGAAAATAGCATCTTGTGTTTGTCCGATTATCTCAGCAGAAATAGAACAGTGGAAGAGGGGCTGTGCTGGACCAGATCGGAACAGAGTGCTTGTTAACATTAGCACACAACCTGCCTTTGATTTGTGTCCAAATGACTAATCATTGATTTTCTTTTTTAAGAAAATGTCTGCCTACTTCGGCAAGGAACATGAACCTCCCACAGCAGAGATCCCTGACCCACCATCCCACCCCCTTTCTGGAATTTGAATCTGCAGTGACCACCCTTTTTGGGGGAGCTGAAATTAAGTGTTGAAAGCTGTCATTTGCCCTTAAGGGCATTATCTGTATGAGAAAATGGGCAATGTTTGTTTGTACCCTATCAGTAACTAAGCTTTAGGAAAGGCATTTTAACTTTTAAGAATGGGGAAAATGTACAAAAGTTGGGAAGCCACCAAACAACAGTGTCATGGGGAAGGAAATTCAGCCCATCTTGCGAAGCTTAAGCTGCCAGATCCAGCCAAGAGCCCGGTTCACCCACCCCAGCATAGTGCAATTGTGGAAGGCATACTTTTGTACTGCTGTTCCATAATCCGAACAGAGGCACTTACTCTTCATTGTGTGTGGGCTGCAGAAGGCCTAGCACTAGAGACAGTCATTGCTTGTCCTCTGCAAACTTCATCAGAATTTTAATGGACTTTCTACGTATTGAAAGAGAGAGTGTTTATGGACCAAGAGCATAGTCATTTTTCTGTACATCAGTGACTGGCTCCTAGTGGCAGGCTCTTAGCACAGATTATGTTCTCATCCCTATTCCTCCTTGGGGCTCTTCAACTGGTCTTAGTGCCACCGATGTGCCCACCCTTTGAAACGATTTCTACCTTCCCCATCTACCTCCTTAACTGAAAGATGGTGTCTGAGAATTGTGCTTTCTACTTTCCTTGTCTTGTTTCCATGCTGACAAGATGGTATTTCATCCAGATGTTTCTTTCCCACCTAAGGTGATACAGTACCTTCATTTCACTTATATCAAGAGAGTCTTCCCAGCTTTTCCCCCCAAAATCAATCTACATCTCTAGAGTATGCCCCACACCCTCAGTATTAGGAGAGCTCTGGCCTTCTATACATCTAGGAATTTCAAGAAATCTGTGCCTCTTTGTTTTTTACGGGGTTGCAAGAAGGGCATGCCATGATCCTCCCTGCATTTTACTCACTGGGTCATGGAGTGGATCTCTCTCTGACCTGTGATCTCACTTGGGTCTCCAAACCCTCAAAGACTCATCTCTCACTCAACCAGATCAGTGGCATCACCACCAGCTGCCCTCCAAAGCATTCCACTACAGCAGTGGTTCTTAACCTTGGGTTACTCAGTTGTTTTTGGACTGCAACTCCCAGAAGCCTTCACCACCAGCTGTACTGGCTGGGGTTTCTGGGAGTTGCAGTTCAAAAACATCTGAGTAACAAAGGTTAAGAACCACTGCACTAGAGGACATCTGCAAAGCAGTAACCAGGGCATACAGCTTTCCATGTTTATCAGGCACTATCATAGATGGACCTGGCTTCTCATTGAGATACCAGATTTGGCAGGGCAGTCTTTTCCAGTCTTGCAATGACACCCCCAGCTCCAGTAAGGCAGTGGTTCTCCCAACAGTGTGGTCTACAGAGACCATGAAGAAGAACGGGTTGTGTGCCTTTGGTGTAGCTGGTTCCTTGAGTGGTCATCTGTGGAGTCACACATCCTGCCTGCTTCCCCACATTGTCTTATCGTTTTCTGGTGGATTGGAACTGAAGATAGTCTGCTAGGGTGAGCTACACATGGGCAGCGGAGGGAGTAGGTGAGGCTCCTGCCAAAACAGTAGAGGGAGGGACCTCAGCTCTAGAAGGTTCTGAAGATCAGCTCCTCACAGGTACAAAACTATTACTAAAGGTTCTGAAGATCAGCTCCTCACAGGTATTGCTGTGACTCCGCAGACGACCACTTGAAGAACCAGTTACGCAGTGCATTTGAGTTCCACCATTTTTCTCACAGATGACCACTTGAAGAACCAGTTATGCAGTGCATTTGAATTCCACCATTTTTCCATTTGTGCTAAAATACTTCATTCAGGCATTATTGTATAATTGTCTTAATAGTCGTTTTCATAAGGTAGGACGATGTGATTTAAAAGTAATTAACCAAGCAGTGTGAGAGGGAAGAAACATAGGTTGCAATCCTGTTGTACAGTTATGCAGTTGGAAGCAAATTTGTGCAAGCGTAAGAAATTGTAGATATCTGTTGCATATTGAGTCACACAACTCAGCATGCAACCCATAAAGTCTGTGGAGGATTCTTCACTGGTGGCAGTTCTCCTCTAAAAGTTACACTGCATTAACTATGCAGCAAAGTTTCAGCCATAGTGTATCCATTTTCAAAACCTGTGTGAAATTGGTTTTTCTTTTAAGCAGTGGGATGTGCGTGCTTTAAAAACATTTAAAATAGGCAGAAAGCTAGTTTAATGCAAAGTTTAAGGATCAGTTAAAGAAACACTGGTAAAGTGTTGACATCTGTAAGCAAGCCATGTTTAACCAAACTGCACAAAGCAGCAAGATATTTGTTCTAGACAAGAGTCACGAGTTCTTGTAGTCCCCACTGTGCACTGTAGGAGAAGAGCCAGCCTGTTTCGCCCTGGACAAGCTGCACTGCTGTAGAATTCTCCCCAGAAGAAGAGACTGGTAAACCCTGTCTGAGTACTTTATACCTAGAAAACCCTGGATTGCGTCACCATAGATTGGAATTGATTTGGCCAGAGATGGGGAGTTACTGGATTTGCTATCAAGTGGGACTCAGGTTCCACCAACAACTCAATTCAGGCTCAACTCGAGTCGTTTTTTCCAATGACTCAGACTTGACACATGACCTCCGAGCCCGCCCACCCCTCCCTTTTTTTCCATGGGAAATCATAGAATCATTGAGTTGGAAGGCCATTGAGTCCAAAACCCCCCCCCTACTCAAGACAGGAAGCCAAGTCAAAGCAGATTTGACAAAGGGTGGTCCAATTTTCTCTGGAATGCCTCCAGTGCTGGAGTGATGCTCACTACCTCCCAAGGTAATTGGTTCCATTGTGAAAAAGCTTTTTTTTAATAGGGACTCAGACTTGAGAGTTGGTACCAAAGGTTCAGACTTGGACTTGGTATCAAAGATTTGGACTGACACTTGGGATTTAGACCCAAAGACTCGCCAACATCCCTGGATTCAACAGGAAACTTTATGGCCTTCCATCCAGGAGAGCTGGAGGGGAGAGGGAGAGAGGGGGGGGAATACCAGCAGCAATGCCACACTGTCATTTTTACATAGAAGCATTTTCACCTACTGTACCTAAGCTACATTTTTGAGAGCCACTGTTCCCCGGTGCTCCTTGTATCTCAAAGTTTCTGTATGTCCTTGCCTTTCCAAATGAAGAAAGGGCAAGGGGTTCATAGAGGAGCCTCTTCAGGCACTGATCTTGCAGGAGAGTTCTGGACAGAGAGAAATCACGAGCTAATCTGACTCCTCACCCTTCCACACACACACACACCACCCCCCAGCTCCGTTTGTACAGTCGCTTACCAATCAAATGGTTTTGTCTTAAGTGATTCCTGGAAATTGAGATTGTAATCTGATGTGCTTTGTGGTCCTCTTTGTCAGCATGAAATCACGAGCCAGCTTTCTCCTTTCCCTTAAAGAAGTATGAGATGTATACGGTGAACTTCACTCATCTTTTAGCCTCAGTTGTAGTTTCCTTTTGTTTATCT